TTTAAACAATTAAATGAAAATCGTTTTGATGTGATATGACCATCGTGGTTGAATTTTAAAGGACGATATCCTATACATATTATTCTTTGGACTAACAATTGTTAAATCTCTCTATTCGGCCTACTGGCAAAATTGTATACCTCAACTGTAGACCTAGAAAGTACTTTCAAGGTTTACAGTATAGGTATACAAATTTGCCAGTTGACCTCAAGATAGGTCTACAATTTTATAATGTACAAGTACAGGCGCGTATCGTCATGTACGCAAAATACGCCCAGGCGTACTGTTTGAATTTGAAAAAACGTTTTGAAAAAAACCATGAAATTCAGTATTTTACTGTTATTTTCTTTGATGATGTCTAAACCTTTGTTGTACAAGTGTATTAACAATAAGTTCTCGATTCCCTCATTGTCATTCACTGTTTTCGTGATTCAAAGATTCAAATTTTTTCGTGATTCAAAGAGTTGCGTCATTCTTGTACGCTTCTTCAAGGCCGTATGGGGTATGATGGCAAATCCCGGCAGAGTACACGCTCAAAATCAACAAATTCAGTACGTATAAACCTGAGTATCACTTGACATTATTAAATGTAAGTAATTTAATCATTTAAACCGTACGATAAGTGGATTTAGCTTTAACTACATTGATTAAGCCAATAAAAGCTGTTGACTCTTGGTGCTGCCATCTTTATATCGACCCAGAACCTATGGTAGGTCTGCACGAACGAAATCATACGCCAAAAATCGCATTCATCTTCACACATTATTCATCCACATACGGGGGCGTACCCTTGCAAAATGACCACGATACGCGCCTGAGTATAATATACAGAAACCTGTAATCAGGCAATATTACATCATTTTAATATGAACAATCATTGTATATTAATCAAAGAAGGCATTCAATGCACCTTTAGATAAAAAATACTAAATAGGTTGTCTTGACATGTCATTTTCTACTTAAACACAAATATAGCATACTAATTCAGACTCGTACAGAAATCACTTGATTCGAGGAAATAAATGATTAAAAAAAGCTATAAGCACTGTTTAAAGATTTTGTTATAAAACGATGAATCAAAGAAAAAATGTTATTTCTTTTTAATGATGAAAAGGTAAATAAAGGTAAAAAACATCTACAGTTTTGAATGACTGTAAATACGCCTACATACACAAATAAAGACGATTAAATATGATCCCTGAACACACAAGCATTGCAGACTTCTAGAAATCAGACAATTATCTTACCTCGATGCAATGTCATTATGACTGTTTTATCAACTCATTTCCTTGAAAAAGCTCAGGGGTGTTTTAGTTTCTGACATTTCAGATAAATTAAGAATTACCGTATTATCGCCTATTGGTGCACACTCGAGCACATGCGACTTTGGAAACATGACAAACATTTGTGATCAGAGCAAAAGAGTAGTAAAACTTACAGAATAACGATTTTTTAACTCACCAAATTTCATTTCCGGGTAGAAAAATCCAACTTCCGGTCTGCGCAAACTTTGATGCGCAATAGTTATTATGACGATAAAATAAAAGTCAAAACTTTTACCTAATAAATATCGCAATATTTCTTTATTTTACCAATAGTTGGTCCTTTAAAAATGCAATATTATGGTAAATAAACAACACAAGACATGATTTGGCGTGAAAAAACAGTAAGTAAGATAATATTCATTTCAAACCTGGAGGCTTCGAATCCTGATTTTCACATATTATCGCCCAATCAAAATGATAACTTATATGTGCGCTTATTGGGACTTTATTGGATTGATTTCTCTCCAATTCCATGGTATTTCACCTCAATTTCACAAGCGCACTGTGCGCCAATAGGCGATAATACGGTATTAAGAATTTTGTATATTTGATGCTTTCTTCTACTCAAGCTTCTAATTATGGAAGAAATGACTTTATGGATAATGACGTTGGCTTTGCAGATGGATGTTGACCCTTTGATACAATTATTGACTTTGAGACTTGATTTTGTCTATCCCACATCATTTGAGACTGAACTCTCTATCTGCATGAATATTAGTATCTACAAATGTGTTTGATGTTATGAGCATTGGTTATCAATTTAAATCTATTCTTCAACATTTATTGTAATGACTTCAGTATAAATGAAATGTCCTTTGGTGTTGCGGTCTTGCGGTTTTGGTGGAGTGCTCTTAGATGTTTTCTTTTTCTTGCTGTGTTCTGTGAATAGGACAATATCTGGTACATATTTGTACAACTGTAATGTTATAATTAAGAGCAAATATGAAATACGAAACTTTGTATATGTCCAGTTGAAGATGGAAAGAAATCAAAGAATATTGAAATAAAATAAAACAATGGTTACAGTAATACAGTCACAGAGCAGGTTTAATTGCTTCTTGAAGCATTTTGACAAAAAGCTTTGTAATGAAGGATTTTTGAGGTGTTACACAGTAAGCTAGGATGAAGAAGAGACTTTTTGCTTTTTCTCAAAATGCTCTGTAACGAAGCAATTTAACCCTGCTGTCCAACAGGTACCAATGATGATGTAGTTGGGCTATCAGGTCAATGAACTTTTATGTGTTATAAGGCATTTCTTCATTTTAGGATTAAATTAGAGATAAATTTTAAATACATCTATTAAATTTTTCTTGTTCACTTTTATTTTTCCATAATTTGTTTGTGTTCTCAATGTTTAAGCTGGCACATTTTATTTTCTTAAGATATATTCATCAGTACTAAAGGTTTCATATGAAATATGAATTTTGGGAAATAATAGCTGATCTTGAAAAAAATTAGTCAATTTGAAGCAAGTTAAAAGACCTTTAGAAGGTCATTGAAGGTCAAACCTCACATCTAAAGTCAGATTTGAACTTATTAGAATTTGTAGATGATTTTGAAAAAAATTTGGTCAATTGGATCAATCTTTACCCTAGAGAAGGTCACTGGAGGTCATATCTCAAATCTAAAGTCAGATTTGAACTTCTGAGAACTTGTAGATGATTTTGGAAAAGTAGGCAATTTGAGGCAAGTTAAAAAAGACCTGTTTGACCTTTAAGGTCATTGAATATCAAATCATAAATCTAGAAATCAGATTTGAACTTCTGATAACTTGTAGATGATTTTGAAAAAATGGTCAATTTGAAGCAAAGTGAAAAAAGATCTTTTTGGCCTTTTTTAACCATGAGAGGATCATTGAATGTCACATGTAAAATCTTAAGTCAAATTTGAGCTTCTGAGAACTTGAAGATGCTTTTGAAAAATAAAATTGGTCAATTTAAAGCAAGTTGAAACAATACCTTTTGACCATTTTTGACCTTGAGAAGGTCATAGAAGGTCAAATATCAAATCTAAAGTCAAAATTTTAAAAGTGAAGTCAGTCTTGAAAATATTTGTTAAGTTATTGGGAGTTGTAAGAAATTTTTAGATGTGGACCGCTGGAAGTCATCTGCCATCATAAAAAGGTTGCAGACCATAACAATGTCAATACTTTTGGTGGTGACATAAAAAAAGGAAAAATATGAAAAAAAACTTTGGAAAAAAATCCCAAAGATATTTAAAAAAATGTAAAACATTTTTTTGAGGATCTTTTTGAATTTGGCCAAGGTTTACATTATCGGTATACAATTTTGCCAGTTGACCTCAAGTGAGGTCTACAATTGTATATAGTCTGACATTTCAATTAGAAATAGAAACCTCTACAACTAAATAAATAAAGTTAAACTTAGAAAATTTGAGATAAAACAAGCAAAATTTGACAAAATGAGAGCCTTAGTGTCATTACTTATTGAACGGCCTATACCACCAATCATATGCATATATTTATAAGCTTTAAATACAATAATTTCAACTTTTAACTTTTCAAGGCCTATGCAAGGCCTGGAGCTGCACCCTTATCTACTTTACAGTTACTAAAGTAGATAAGGGGGTCCAGGTATTTAAAGCAAGACTAAGACACATTTAATATTAAGTATTTGACTCAATAGATAGCACAATTCCAGCTTGAAGCTATATGTTGAAACTGGCTCACTTAACATAAAATCCATTTTCTACAAGATGGGGTAGGTTTGGAGGATGAATAAGCTATTTCTGTTTCTAGATGGTTTTGACTCAGTGGCTTATTAGCCAGGATTTCTAATATTTTCCTGATATTCTAATCCCAATGAATTTGATAAAAATTTTACCAAATCTGCTTTTTGCTTAAACTTTACAAGATTTGCTAAAAGCCTAGAAAACATTTTGCGAAATTTGTTCGATTTTAGTGTCTAATTGCAAAGTTTTGTTTTATATTTAAGAAAAAGAAAAAACTGCTTTGAGAAGTGCAGTTATTCTTCTTTTGGCCACCACTTTTGTTTGAGGCAATTTTTCCAAACAAGAAAATTCGAAGCAAATGCGTGACATATTCGTTTCTTTCAGTGTTCATTTTTTTGACGTTCGTTTCTTGATATTCTCCTGAAATATTTTTGCTTGACAATAATCAGAAAAATGTGTATTTGCATGACATATTCTGTCACACAAAAAATGGGCATGACTTCAATTTCTTTTTTGCGCGACCTGTCACTTTTAAAATAATCAACTCAACCAACTGTCTTGGGAAATAAAATACCAAGAAATTAAAACTGTCAATAAAAATATGTCATGTAAATGACAAATGATCACAGGCCCGTAGCCAGAGGGGGAGCTGAGGGAGGGAGGGGGAGCTGAGGGAGCGGAAGCTCCCCCCCTGGCCAGAAATTCTTTCAAAATCATGCAGTTTTTCACCATTCTGAGAATTTTTCGTATGATTTTTACCCAAAATTGTGAAAAAGCTCCCCCCTGGAAAAAAGCTCCCCTCCTGGTAAAAGCTGGCTACCTAAAAGAGAAGTAGTAATACAGATGTCGACTCGCTATTTTATACATGTTCCCGGATTAATCTTCCAGAATCGGCCACCAATAGATGTCAGGTGTTGTGCATAGAATAACCTTATGAACTTTCAACTTAGATTTTTCTTGGATGGGGCATGGGCTCTATCTTACCTTTGAAAGCGTGGCTGTACATAGTTTTCTCAGCATTTCAATTATTCAGTACAATCTTGACTAATCTGAAGCACCAGCATTACAAATAACTACCTAAATCGATAAATATTTCACAAAATATCACAGAATCTTTCTCACATTTTCAGGTGCTTGCGAAATACGTCATGGATTTTGTTCACATATACTGATGACGTATTACACATTTTCGTCTGCTAAAGAGAGTGTTTACTTCCGGGTTTATACTAAAGTAAACAAACTACAATGATATGACGGGTTTACAAGCTTGACAACTACATCGGAGAAATTAACACTCTGAAAAGTCCTATTACCTCACAGTCATGAGCTATTTCATGGGGTCTAGGTAGATCCAATGCCTGCCCGTAGCAGCTTATAGACTAAATGAAATATTAAACTCCCCATATAAAATTTAAACCACTTTGGCTTTGTTATCTCAATGTTATCAAAATGTGATATATGAAACTTTTTTTTAAATTTCAAAAAGGAGCTTTTGTTTGAAAAATCGGGAATTTATTTAAAACTAAATTTTAGATGTAACACATATATTTTAGTAAGCAATACTCCCAGGAAGCATTCATCCTCAGTCACTTGATCTTTCAGATTAAAGGTGCTACAAGGCCTGTAGAGAAACTTCGAACATTTTTACTTTTTCTGAGCTATCAGGGCAACATTTGGCTTAACATCTTCTTTGACATACTTATTTTCTTAAAATTTTGTTTTGCACTGTAAATTGGAATATTTGATGATTAAAAAGTTCAACTTTTATTTGAAAAATGGTGGGAAATTTGAATATTTGAGAAACAAAAACCTGACATTTCAAAAATCTCTTTAATAACTTTTACAATGAAAAATAGTAAATGAAAGATAAAAACATATTTTAAACTTTGCACTGGGCCTTTAATACAGAAAACTTGCATGACCCTGAAATTTCAACACAAATTCATTGAGGTTTCTGGGTCCAAGGCACCAAGGTACAGAGAAATTAAACTTGCCTATACAACTGACAAAAATTGAGCTGAATGTACCAAGCAAATGATAGAGCCTAAAGTCACCAAGACTTCTTCATACAAGATCAAAGACTGCACCAGATCAGGTATGAGAACTCCAGTGAACTCCATTCAATACTTTGTATGAAATGTAAAACGCTAAAGCTAACCCCTAAAACTAATGTGACAGGTAGGCAAAAGTTTTTAAGACTTCTAACAAATTATCTTATGTAACCATAATCTACACACCGGAATAGCCTGACAAAGGTTATGACGGTTATGTCCGCCATTTGTGACAACGGTATCTGGCTTCACCGTTGTAAGGCTATTCCGGTGTGATCTCGGTGGAGCTGTTCTCCCACTTTTGGAGACAAATAACTGGCAACTAATCTGGTATGCTCATTTTGTGATATGGAAGGGGAATTTCAAGGTTCAAGTTACATCCCAAAACACATTTTCAAATTTTCAGCTTTTGGGATAAAATTATGATAGGACCACAGTCTCCAGAATTTTGTCAAATTGAGTCATCTAATCTAAACATTAATCTGTTAGTAAACAATGTATTTCTACAAGCACGACCATCCACAAGAAGTGCTGGGAACTGGGATTGAACTCAGGACCTCTTGTTTCCAACAAACGTGCTTTTACTGCTATAGCCACAACCAATGGTGACATCAAGAACACAATGCTTAAATCATATTTACTACAATCATTATATTAGTTTATTATGCATTCATTTATTAATCTGTGTTAACATAATATATGTAAAAATGATGACTATAATCAAATGTCTGCTTTACAAACTCTGATAAAAATCATTAAAAGTTTTGAACTATTTACTATATAAAAACAGGATTATGTATAGGGTATTCTGTGCAAAATTCTGTAATGGTTTGTTATGACACGTGACCTGCTACAGTTGACCCCAAGTGCACTTCCGGTGTATGTACATGACATGTTTGAACGTAGCATGATGAAGTTTGATTTTTGGGGTTCTACAAATTGCCGAGTAAATTGTCTATATTATGATGATGTGACTATAGATACGTTGGAGGTATGGGCTCCATGTACGTAAATGAAGTCAACATTCCACTGTGTACAAGGTAGGGTTCTCAGTTTTTATTCGATATTGATGCAGCTCTTGCATTTCTTGTAGATCAACAAATTTAAGTTGGCAACCTGGGTTATCACAGTGTATTGGTGACTTTATCTGGGTATTTTGCAAATAACGTTGATGTATTTCAACAATATTTGTGCTCTATGCGTGTCTATTTTTAGAACACACACAAACCATTTTGCTTGGTTTTCATGATACATGTATGTGTAACTGGCGTTCTATATATACATAATTCTCACTTTATTTCATGCAAGGAACACTGTCACTGTTGTTTTGATTGAGACGCACTGGTAATGTTGAAAACAGCTGAGCGCGTTTTATGTTTATGTGTGTAGTTATACCATGCTTTCACATAGCAAGTATGGATGGGAGGGGGATTGGAATGTTGCCAAACTCAATGTTTATTTACATTTATAGTCAGGATATGGATTTCAATCAGCTGTTTGGTGCAATTCTAAGCCAACATAACAGTGTCAGTGTGTTTAATTTGCCATCTTCAAGATATTATGTCTTCAATATTATGTTTATTAGACTATTTGTATTCACATTTATACATGTATGATATCTGGGTTTCTCCCTACACTTTATTTCTATAAGACCCAAAACATATATATGTGTTCACACTCAACACATTCACTTGAGTTCTTAAGGGATATGGCAGTCCCACTAGTTCTAGTGTATGACAATGGGGGTTGACTTAACAACTTGGAGGGGGAGAATAGGTGCTTTTTCGAATAGATTTGGGTTTTCCCAACCAAAAAGTTCAACTAATTACAGTTTGCAAGGTATATGTGTTGCTGGGAATTTTCACTATTCATACTACTGTTTGTTGAGTTTGGTTGTTGTACTCAGTATGGTAATAGTTATCACATATCTCAAATGGATATTTGTAATCTAAACACACACGAAAAGTTAAGAAACAAATTCCAGTAACAATGAATAATGAGCAAATACCTCTTGTAAATAGCCATAAACATTTAGGCATCATTTTAGACAAACACCTTAGCTTTGAAGAACACATTAACTCAGTGATTACTAGGTGTAATAAAATGTTAAATCCATTAAAAGCACTCAAATTTTCAGTAAGATCAAAACACTTACAGACAATTTACATGGCATTCATTCTCCCACATCTCGAATATGGCAATATTATTTTTGACAGCGCAAATCTAAACCTCTTAGCAAGTTTAGATAGAGTCCAATATAGAGCGGGTCTTATTGTAAGTGGTTGCATCCAAGGGTCAAACTCTGAGAAGGTGATGGCATGTCTTGGATGGAGATCTTTATCCAATCGAAGAAAAGAAAAAAAACTAGTTTTTATGTTTGATTTTGTAAATAATTATAAGATGCCTTCATATGTTTCAAATGTTTTTGAACAGTATAAGAATCAGGTAACCCACCAAAGACTTCGTCGTAGCAATGATTTTAGGATCCCATTCAAAGCATCTGCTAAACTTAGAAAGTTTACAGCTTTATCCAGTATTAAATTATGGGATAATTTACCTGATGAACTGAAACAAGCAAACTCACGCAACTCATTTAAGTATAAAATTAGAACATTTTTGAATGGGAAAAAGAAAGAATTCACAACCCCAAGATTAAACCTATCCAGAGATAAAGAAATTGTCTTAAATAAAACGAGATGTGATCTCATTTTTAGGCAGCATCTTTTTACACATAACTTCAAAAATATTCCAAATGCCAAATGTAAATGTGGTCACTCTACTGAATCAACCAAACACCTATTGCTCCATTGCCCTCTTTTTAACACTCAAAGACTCAATTTTCACAGAGAACTAGGGGGACTGCCATCCTTTAATTTAAACTCTTTTAATAATAGAAAACAGGAGGACAGGGTAGACTTTCTACTTTTTGCAGATCCTTCTCTTGACACAATTACAAATAAAAAGGCTATTGAATTAACAGCCGAGTTTTTACACTCTATTGTCAAGGAAGTTAAATAGTCCAATATTCATTATTTATACATATATCTCTGACCTGTCTTCATGTTTTCAAGATTATTTTCATGTTCATAAATATGTTTTATATCTATCATTTTTACATTATGACCTATTTTAACTTATATTGTAACTACTTCAACAGGGCCAATAATGCTTCGGCGTAGGCCCTGTATCTGTTTGTATGATGTATTATGAAATAAAGGAAATATAAAAATTTAAAAAAAAAAAAAACTATAATCAAATAATAATTAAACATACAATGATTTAAAAATTGTGTAAAACGTAAATCATGTAAACTACTCACAACACAGAACTTGATTATATCAAAATACCTGCTAGTGTAACTGTAAACTTAGAAAATTTTGCACATTTTTAGCAGTTTTCAAAAGAATGCTAAAAAATGTTCATAATTTTGAGACAACGATGGTTCTGATAAACTTGTTTGATAGGCCATGTAGGCATGCAACGATTTAATTTCTTCATAATGATATGGTTGCAAAAAGGCAAAATATTATACACATAATATTTTCTAGGTTTACAATTTGTGGCTTTGACTGCAATAAAATGTCAATGAGGTTTAAATAAAGTGACTCAATTAATAAAATCAAAATGTCATTATTAATTACTTAAATTGAGGAGCAGTAGCAAGTTCAAAGTAGTTCTCAAAAATAATTACACAGATGATGTATCCTCCAAATAACATGAATAAAGGGCAGCCCAACATAACATGCTCCCTTATGTATAATTTCCCTTTACTTTATTTGAAAGATGACTTAAAAGTTAATTGTGCACCTGTAATCTCAATAAAAATCTCTTATCTAAAACAATACAAAAAAAAATACTAAACACCCCATACATGCCATGGGCTATATGATGGAAGCTACCACCAACACATACAGATATTTTTGATTATGCTTAGTGTGGCAATTCAAATTAAAAGACATCTCATTAGGTAATCATATACATATTCTTTTTTCACTTATCAGGTTTAGGGGCTGGTTCAATTCAAAATATTGTTTTTTATCAAGCAATTAATTCAAATGAAGCTCCGATCCAACTCCTTCTGTTTGTTAAATCTTATCAAACACTGACTGAAATCAAATTATTTCCAATTCAATGTTTTTCTTGACTTGAACCTTCCCATTTCTATCTTCTAATGAAATTAGTTTTGTGAAAAAATAATAACTAATTTATCATTTGTATCTCCCGTCCTGATATTAAAAAAAGAAAGGATGTATGGTTTGTCTTTAGTTGTTGGTATAAATATAGCTATATATATATAAATTCAATAAATCTGTACTACTAATCATTTGATTGACACTGGTTTCGTTACCTTTACAAGGCTCATTTATCCATCATGTCTTTAGGCTACATGATCATTGTCCATTTAAGCATTTACTGTTGGTCTAATGAAGTCCATATTCATTTGATTAAACATTATAAACACTATAAGATTTCCAGACAGTCTATGAATCATCTCTTCATTCGCACTCTGGCAAAACAATGGGATGCACATACAGACATTTGAGATTTATAATCACAAGTGCCTGTCAATTCACAATATTCCATTTTATCTACATATGATGACCCTCGTAAATCACCAGCTTAGAAAGTGCGGTGTAAGAGTTCAGCGTTCACATTGATGGCTGTTTCAACTGGATTCAATCATTAAGTTGGGATTCACAACCATAATAAATGTTTCTTCTTTGTTGGTGTCCGTGGTGACCTTGAAAGTTCCAATAATTCCTGGAAATTGTAAAATCATTTTTTATGATACATTGTATGTGTATAAGTTCAGGAACATGTTTGATTGGGTTGCTATTATTAGTCCCAATAATATTTTGCTTGACCTACACTGCCAATATCAAACAGCATCAAACAGCGCTGTTTATGAAACAGTGCTGGACAGCGCTGTAAAAACAGTACTGTACACCACTGTTTTCAAACAGGTGATGCTAGAATAGCACTGTACAGCGCAATACAGCGTAGTACTCGAACTGCACTGTTCAGTACTGTTTACAGCGCTGCAAGATGATGTTGTGGATTGGGGGTGTACTAGTATGTAAATAACTATGGCGTTGTTAAATGTTTTTCTTCAACAAGTTAAATGCGCAAAACTACATCTTTATCAACAATTGGGGTTTAAACATTGTCTAATGAATGTACTAGTATTTTGATTCAACCAACCTATCGAGTGGGTGTGTTAATTATCATAACTGGTATAACTTAAGATTTACCTTTATTTTGGCCTTTTCCTTCTCTTGTCTCGCTTTGGCAAGAGCAATCATATCTTGAACAGCATTGTCTTGTTTTGGGCTTTTATGTGGCTTATTGGTGTAATCATGTGGTTTGTCATTTGATATCTGTGACAAATTCAGTGGATCCAGAATCTTGCGTTTTCTGTTCCCTTCAGGGCTGTAAAAAATTAAATTATTGAAAGCTTTATTGAATGTCATCTCTCATTCGTTACATCACCCAAAAGTTCTAATATGTGATCTTTCTAGGTAGAGTGTACTTCTATTTAATTCTAATAATAATATGTGCCTTCTAACATCTTTTGTATTATTTGTTGTGTATGTCTATGCCATTGTTAAATGAAATCCATGACACCTTCCATACATAAATACCTAGAGGAAAGTTCACTCAATATTCACTTACCTTGTGTTTTCTATATTCTCTTTCTGTATTCTCCTCTGATCATTCAACAATTTGTTACAGGTCTCCATGGCAATTGTTTGGCAATGACTTGGCTGGATTTCATGGGAGTTGGGGAAATGTTTACTTTTGAGGGAGGGCTTTGAATTTATGACTAGAGGGGACCCAATGGTGTTGGGCTTAAATTTTGGTTGTTCAGAATTTTCTGTTCGTGCGAGACTAGCGTGTGTTTGTGTCTGGCATACACTAATATCCCTTGTGTGTATCATCCTTTCCCTTTGTTCAATGTTGCATGCTGTGCCCTCCTTAACAGCAGTTTTGTGTGTAACAATCATTGGTTCACTTTTTCCAAATGAGTTAAACATTGTTTTCATTGAAGTTTCAGTCTCAGCTGTAGAATTTACACAACTTGGATTAAAACGAGTATCTGAATTAATAATTTCACTGGTTGGTTCTTGTGTATTTATTAATCCTTGTGTGTTACAATATAATGTTTCAGTTGTTTTGTTGCCCAAGTTCTGGTCTGCCATATTAGTGTGTACAATGAGAGCTTTAGTTGCATTACTTTGGTTTACAGCTTGTTGGATAATGTCTGTATTATGATAGACAGCTTCAGGTGTGGATTCCTTTGCCTTTGATTCAGAAGGTTTTACATCGACAATCATGGGCTTCAGATCTGTTTTAGTATCAGTTTTAAATGATGAGCAGGATCCTCCTTTTTGGTTCTTATATACATTAATATTGCATACATTTGTATTGACGTAAACCAAATTTTCATCCATTGCTTTTCTCAAAGGAGAAGCTTCACCTTTTGATTTCCTTGGGGAATTCAGCTTGGCAATATGTTGATCAATTTGTGATGGTTCAAGAGCCTTGAAAGGACTGACACATTTTGCAAGTTTTTCACCCTCATTTGGGAGGAAAACCTCAGAGTTGGCATACATAGAAGCTGCACTGCTATCTGAAGCTTGGCTTTTAAAACTGGTCAGGGACTCACTGGAGTTTGACAATTTTGTACTCGCGTTTGAAGCCTGGCTTTTAAAACTAGTCAAAGAATCACTGGAGCTAGACAACTTGGTCCCATGAACAGAAATACTTGAATCAGAGCTCTGACTAAGGTGCCTTGTTGAGGATTCGCTTGAGTTCTTCCTACTATTTGACGCATTTGATCTTGCTTCTTGACTTTTCAGGCTTGTAAATGACTCATTGGAGTTGGATATAGGGTTACTCTGACTATTTTGAATACAGTTGGAGATGTTGCTATAGAAAGATGAGTTAGTTTCTAGTGATGACAAACTGCTGGTTTCTTTGGTATCATCCCCTAGCGACTCAATTGTATGATCACTGATTGTTTTCATTTTGTGACGACCTTCATTAATTTTATCTCTCAAAGAATCTGCCACAACTTCCTCCTTTGCATCTCCAGCTTGCTTTTTCGCATCATCATCACTTGACTCATTTCTGTTTATGCCAGGAAGATCCACTATGGCATCAATGGGAGTAGCATATAGAGGGTCGGGATCGCCATATGTTGAGAAAGTCGGAACAGTTGCAGTTGCATAGTGGATACCAGAAGTCCTATTCCAAATTGTGTTATGAGGAGTGTCATCTATTGTAACACTCTTCGAAGCCTCGTCTAATCCTGCTTCCCAGTTCTTACTCAACAGCTGCAATGTTGATGATTTGGTGAAGGGGTCTTCAAAAGTTTGATCAAATTTTACTGTGCATAGGCTGACCAGTTTTGATGTGCAGGGGTCTGCACACTTAGCTCTAAAGTTCACAGAGGGTCTTGGTGAGCAATCCAAGGCAACTCTGTTCTCTGTCAGAGGGGATCTAGAAACCGAGGTTTCATCAGGTGGGGATCTAGAAGCCATGGTATCATCTGATATAGGTTTTTCAACCTGCATGTCGAACAAGCCACTATCCCCAGATATGGAGAGGGGCTGCTCTTTGTTCACATTTACTTTGGCATAAGTATGAGTTGGCTCATCAATATTGTTCCTAAGGTGGGTCTCGATGGGATGTCTATTTGGGCTATTTATGAAACTGGATTGAACACTCATAGGGACCTCAATACAAGGGACCTCAATACAAGGCACCGGGGTAGGTCTACTATACAACACATCATTTTCTTGAGATTTTAAGGCCATTTCAGATCCGTGTGTCCTTGGAAGAGTAGAAGAGTTGAACACTTGATTTAGTACTGGACGCTGCCTTCCTAATGTCACTGTCTTTCCAAAAGTACCAAATTTATCAAGAGAAGCAGTTCTGGGAGGGAAATTTGTGGAGCCATCCAAAAAGTCATTCTTTGGTTGATTTGTATCCTGAAGGGTAACATATTTTTCATTTTCTGGATCATTTATAAATGAGCCTAAATTTTGTATAAAGGATCTAGGCTGGGTTGAGTTAACTACTGGTTGTGCATTTGATTTGTTAATGAGAAGGGAGGAGACATGTATCCCAGCAAACCTTGGTTTCTGGGGGATAGAAGGGCCAATGAGAGGTGCTGTGTGCCATAGACTGGGAGATATAGCACGTTGGGTATTGATCTGGGGAGCTGAGCAGCTGTCAATGCCTCTATAGTATTTCTGAAAATATAACATCAACATATAATTACATCTTTCATTTATCCCCAAGGTATAAACAATTTTAATTATAACAGCTTGCAATTAACCGCAGTGTCACAGCCTAGTCATTTTTCAAATTTTATTTTCAAACCTGAAAGAAGATGTGACTAGAAGTTCGAAATGACGTGAAAGTAGATGTGAATATGTAAATGTAGTTCAAAATTAATGTAAAAGGTGAACGGTTACAAATATAGAACACTCAGCCTTGCAGACTATTTTATGAAAATATTAACAAGTGAAATAACATTATTGCTTTATACTTTGCAAAACAATTACCTGAAAGAAGATGTGACTAGTAGTTCGAAATGACGTGAGAGTGAAGGGTTTAGGAAGGAAAAGGGTAAAAGTGGAATTATAATTGTAATGAATCCGATTGGTTGAAATTAAAGATATAAAATTTCTGATTGGTCAGAACTGGATAAATAAAATTAGGCCTCGTTTTCATGAGGGAAGTTAGATGAACGAAATGAGTGCCCCAGTAATTAATGTTTTACAATGTTTAAACTGCAGAGTACAATTTTAATTGGGCAGCTTGCTTTCAAATGTTTTATTATTCATGAATCTGGTATTTCTGAATACAATTACATGTAATTTTCAAATATTTAAACACAATAAACAAAAAGTATAAAAAAAGACATGGAAAATGGGTGTCATCCTGTAATTTATTTTTGTTATGATGCTTGATATATATGAAGAGAAGACCATACCTATGACATCTTCTCCCTCCTTGTAGTGTGATTATATAAACGTCATAAGAAAAAGTAAATAAATAAAATGTGTAAAACTGTAAAATTGATGTAATTTTTGAAAAGACTTTAACAGCTTAAACTTAAAAGTCAAAACTCTATTATCAAGTATTAAGCCAATTAAAAATAATTTATCCGATTTCTGTAAAATTATAAATTGTGCTTTGATCAAACTGAATTGGTTAATCAGATTTTATATGAAAAAAGGATTTGAACCCTTGTTTATTCAATTCATCATACATTTGAAAATACAGTACTAAGAGCATACAGCATGCAGTGATTGCAAATGGATCTAGTAATAACCCGATTCAGTTGGAATTTCTTTGCCTGCGATGAAGTCTAAATACTTCTCTAAATGTATTTGTAATTTATTTTCAAAATAAATTCTTTGATAAAGGTGTTAATGCTTCATGTTCTATCAAGGGTTCTTAACAAAAGTTTGACTTAATATTTGACTTTATTTTAATATCATATAAGCTGATGTGAAAACACAATTAAATTCTATTGAAATGAAATTGAATGAAAAAGTCAGTACACCTAATGGGGATTGAACCCCAACCTCTCAGTATTGGATTTTTCTGTGAAAAGGGTTAATTGCCTCCCATATTCGGGCATAATATTACCCAAAATTCCACTTCAAATTGTCTTTTTTTTATGAAAGGATTAAGGTGACTGGACTCATCAGTCTTTGTCCCCTTTCATTATTTCCCTTTAGTGTATAAAACACGTCTATATTACACTGATATTTATTTCATATAATTTACCTTGTCTAGTTTTTTATCATTCCATTTCTTGACAAATTTCTTGAAGTAGGTTTTGGCTTTTGAGTCTGACAATGAAGTGAGGTTGATTGATTTCTGCAAAAGAAAAGTACATTAAATATCATTTCACAGTTATTAGTAATCCACAGAGAACATTTTCTTGGGACAAAATATTCTCTGAGAATCTAATATGAGCAACACTACAGAATATCAAGCTTAATAAACAGAATAAATTCATGATACAAATATTGTTTAAATGATATATTTAACTTGAGTATTTTTAATTCATCTGCATATTACTCATATTTCAGCCAAACAAATGGATTGAAATGCCCATGCCGTATTTCTTTAAATCCTAACTTTACCTCTTCAAGCAGCCAAGTCTTGAACTCTAATGTCTTACTATAGATGTCATCAGATGTCAGCTTATCTACAAATAAATTCAGACACAAGTTGTATATTCAGAGTTCAGAGGGTTTCAAGACTAAGGTTGGAAACATACATGTAATTGCCACAGTTTAACATATTGGCATTCAGTCCATTTCCTAATACAGTAATAGGCTACACGTTTTTCTAAGTTTATTGCCAAGAGCAAAAAGTAATTGCCATTGGCAGTTAGGCAGATGTGAGTTTCAAACCTTAAAGTTCAGACACAAATTATATATTCACAAACAATTTGCATATTGAGACACATAATTATGTTCTTTACATAAATTGCATGAAATATTAAGTATCAATATCAAGTATCATTATTTTATCATCAAATCTTTGATGTACATTGATGTACATGAAGTGGAACCAACATGTACATTTTCAACTGCGTACATACTTTTAGCTTTGCGTTTTTCTTGTTCTTTTAACTTTTTCTTTTCTTTCTGTATTTGCTTTTTGGCTGTATTGGCTTGCTGTTTAGACACTGACCCATAGGTTCCAACACCTGAAAAATATAATCAAATTAACAGATAAGCTTTAGTTCATGGAACAAATACCTTAAAAAGAGAGTTGGCAAAAAACAATTTTAGCCATTTATCAAATATGAATATCATTCCATATTGAAAAGGACAGGTGATCAAGTTATTGACCATCTGCACTGAAACTCCATCTGCTTGTTTTTGACAAAAATGACAAAGAAATATTGATCTGTTATTTCACCATAATCTCCTATATACCCAACATATGATCCATATAAAAGATCTGAGGAACAGAATACAGTCCCGCCCAATGTATTGGACCACTCTACTAAACACCAAGTTTATCCAAATAAATTGTATGGCTAATTCAAAGTAAAAAGAATACAAAGAAGACACAAAGTGATAATTATCGCACTTTGAAGAGAAAAATGGCTGCCATGTAATTTACCCAGCATACCCAAAGCAAAACCAAATTAGATCTTGGTACTAGTCTGCTCTGGGATCAGTAAAAATGTTGAATAAGTAGTTTTCCTGGTATTTGATGACCAGATTTATGTGGCGCCCAAATGCAAACCCAGCAACAGATGACAATGACAATATTAGCACTTTTTTAAAGAACAATACAAATATTAAACCCTAATTGCTAGAACGTTCAAAGAAAGATCCCTGGAATTGAGAATACAACATGCCATGGTAACAACAATATCCATAGACAAGTCATATGGCGATGGTTAAATCCCGGGGGTTAAATATGAAATGGTTACAGCAAAGCAGAAGACAGGGATGCTCATCCCGAAAATATGTGATAAACTTTGAGTATATTAGCCTAGAATAGTGTCTTAACTGCTATAATACACAATTATTGATTTCTATTTGAAGATTTCTACAAGGATAATTTTACATCAACAATTTTCACCAAATGGCTCTTTACAGTCAAGAATTGATATTGCATTTGCAATGACACTACATACCTGAATTGCTTTCTTCTGAACACACAGAAGAATCACTGAGATTGTCACTGCTCTCCATCTTTAACTCCTTAATTTCCTATTGTTCCATCAGTAACTTAGGAACTGATCATATGATCTGAAATGTAAGTTAGCACATTTATTTATGTTTGGTAATTGTCTGATCACACTTCTAAGAGGTTTGCAACCATAAGTTTATTATATTAAATTAAAGTGATTGACCAATATGATTGCCTTTTAAAGGCCCCATGTAAAGTTTAAACCACTTTGGCTAATATTGTAGTCTTACCCAATGTTATCAAAGTGTGATATGTGAAACTTTTTTTTAAAATTTCAAAAAGTGGTTTTTGATAGACTTTTTGTTCCAAAATTTGTGAATTTATTTAAAACCAACTTTTAGAGGTCACTCATATCTTCTAATTAGCCACAATTCATATCAATGCATAGCATTCATCCTCCCATGTTTTTTGCCGAAAAAATTAAGAAAATCGGTTGATAAACAAGCGAGAAATGAACTTATCAATGGTTCTGAGAAAAATGCATTTCAAAATTTTAGTTCTCATAGAAACCAATGGTACAATGATATCTAAAACATAATTTATTCTTCCTTTTAATTTAGTTAGACAATCAACATTGGTTTTTATGAAAGTCTAGCATATTTAGAAAAGATTGACATTGAAAAAAAAAATTCAAATTTTTTCAAAAAGTTTTTGTTACCTTAGTGACATCACTAATGTTTCAAAATATTTTTGATAAGCTAAAACATTGGTGTAGCCCATTAAATATGACATTTTATTATTGAAATAGCGTGTCTTTTGTTCAATCTTTGCATTGGTGTTAAAAAGATAATCTTTTTTGAAATGCATTAAGAAATATTTGATGATTAAGAAATTTCAATATTGAATATTTGAGAAATGAAATGCTCACAACTTTTTTTGAAAAAATTTTTTTTGTTCAAAAATCTTTAAAATCACTTTTTAAGTCCTGACAAATAGTAAATGAATGAAAAAAAAATATTTTCAAACTTTAGACGGGGACTTTAAGATTTTTTATCCTAATGTTGTTTGATAGTAAAGCTTAATTCCTGATTTTTTATAATCGAGTGGGATATTAAATAACTCGTGAATAAACAAGACTTATAAGTAATAAGAAGGACTAAAATATATTCATGGAAAGTTGTTTCACTAATAACTAGACAAGCTCTTTTACAAAGAAAATTAATGAATACTTTTCAAAGTATAACGTGGGTGATATTAATTAAGCAGGGTTCTCACCAAGAAATTTTTAGACCCCAGATTTTTGCACTATCGCAACTACTCCCCCCTCATCTGAGATCGAGATTTCCTATTACTAAGTATACTTTTCAAAATACTACTTAAGATAATCTTCCAATTTTAATCACAATATACTCTGGAGCAAGAGGGACGAAAGACATTAGACTCTGGAGGATCTCCGGAATCTAAAAGCCTAGTGAGAACCCTGTTAAGGGCCCGGGGTTAAGCAGTGATCTCCCCATGTCACTTTTACCGGGGGCTCCCCCTACTTGAAACCAAAGGCCCCCCAGTTGGCACCCAGTTGGAATCTGCACTTTCAACTTCTAATTTGAAAAATGAGTGAAGTAAGCACCTACACTGAGATATTGTGAGCGTAGCGAGTGCTGATTTTTTCAGACTTGAAATCTTGCACCCAGTTGAAAATTGTTTTTGGGGAGAACACTGTTAAGGGATGTAATTTTAAAATATGGTGTGGCGAGTTCACTCTAAAAACATTGGCAGGGATCCTTGGCTCACATGGGAAAATACATCACACTTAGGGTATGGCATTTGTCCAGTAAAATATTATTCAAATGCTGTCCGACAGTCAAAAAATCCATTTATTTTCTCATTTGGCCGTATTCTTAAGTTTCCCACCCATATGTAATAAATTTGGTTTCTTACTGCCTATGGATCCAATTTCGAGATTCTGCCGACTGACTAGGCGAATAGGCACACATTAGACTTCAAAAAATAAGTCATATAAATATGAGTAAGTAGACCAAATGGTTCGATTGAGGCATTTGAACTTTTTCTAAAAATTGATTTTTTGACTGTCGGACAGCATCTGAAAAATATTATAGTTACACACACGTCCTTAATTTGAGGTTTTTTTGATCATTCCCGCAATAATCTGCGTTTTCAACTTTTGAATATGAGCTTTTTCCCTTACTAAAGCAGTTTGGCCTAGTTATCACAGGAACGTAGTTAACTGGCCCATACAGGCTTGGATACTTTTTCCCGAGAGTTGGACATTTGTATAAAGCAAGGGGTTAGCGCTGAAATGAGGATCTTCGTGGAGAAATCGACCAATAGAAAGTATGTACACTTGCAAATCTCAATTTTCATTGTTGCCCAAATCATTGCATACTGATAGCCTAGTCTGACTTTACTATATTTGCACATAGCCATCTTTAGATAGATGTTAGTATCTCTCAGGAGATAGCTTTGCGTAAGGCTGACTGTGAAAGTTGAAAAAAAAAATTCATGATACAATTCTAAAGGGATTTCTTAGCCTATGTAGTTTTCCATATTAAACGTCATCTACTTGAAATGAAAGACAAGTACATAATATATAAATATTGTTATAATTACGTTGTTCGCCTCGTTCCTTACCTTATAAAGATATCATTTTATTTCATTTTGTAAAAATTAGAAAAATCAAATCGGCCGCCAGTTGAGAACTCGCTGTTTCCCGTTTGAACTCTCGTGCACTTGTTTGGGTTCAGTACGCATGCGCCGAATTGTCAAGTAAAACAAATCTGAAATTTTTTATTTTAGTTTGGCGAATTATGGCTGTAATCTCACTCTAACGCATACATAAGAATGATGTGTGTTTGACAGCCAATTATGGGAAATAGAAAAAGAATTCTTTAGATCGGCATTGTGGTAAGAATTCATAATTTGAAAAATTTATGATTTTTTTTTCAAAAATAAAAATTTTGATTTTGAATTCAAACCCCAGGATTCAAACAAATGATCAAATTGTGAAGATCAGTCGTGATATTTACTTAAATTTCAACATTTTCTATTTAATTTAATCTCATATCATTCCTGAAGAAATCCTTTTTGTCCAACTTATCAAGGATAGTTTCCATCTTAGTGTTCATTGAAGGTTATCTTTGGTTTAGATGAAGTACGGAGTTGGTGTAGAATTTCCAGTTTTAAGATAATTTGTTTTATTTGATGAAGCTTTTCTTGTGGATGACTCAGTTTTGAAAATATTTTACTTCATTGCAACTCAGGCCCTGATTGTATGAATTTTGTTGTCCACTCATGCAAGGCCAAAATCCAGAGATGGTCTTCGACAAAAGTAACCTACAGTGCAGTAAACTAGTCTCGATGATTTATTTTAGTGTAAAATGGAACCTACACCACCAAGGAAACCAAAGCAACCTCTATCTTTCTATGAAGCCCCTGAACATGTGAAGACCAGTTCTAAGATAATCAGTGAGGCTCGACAGCAAGTTCGAGGTGGACTTGACACAGAGAGGCCATTTACACCCCAAGATGGAAAGCGCTCTCTGTTTGGGGGTAGCAGCCGAGGCCCAGAGAGTAGACCCCCAAGTGCTTTTAGGTTAGCTTAAAATCATTAATCATTATATATAGAGCTCATAGAAGTAGACTTTACTTCAATAAATTATTTATAATAACTGACTCATTAATTATTAAAATTCCCATTATTCTCATGAGAACACTTTTTTCACAGTTGCCCTCTAGCTTAAAGACATTTGCATATGCATCTGCATTTAAAGTAATTGTTAGCCCCATTGTGATATACTGTATCTACATGTATGGCCATCTATGCGTTCCGAGGATGTCCATATCCAATACCACATATCTTGCAACATGATGATTATTCATGAATGAACCCCTATCCTAGATTATACCTTAAGTAATACATAATTATATAGTGACAACTACTGCATTAAGATTGAACCAGTGTTCTTGTCAAGTAAAAGACTCCCTGTCAATATGAAAATGCTTGCTGTACCACAGATTCACATTGATCTTATTCTATCATTATTATATGTTTAGAATAATGTTTTACATCTCGTATTACATACAATAAAGTATATTATGTTTACCATTTATGTCATGCAGATATTAAGTTTTATCCCTCAAAGCACAATGGTGATTAGCTTTAAAACCATATAATACATGTACACATGTTTCTAAACACTTCAGTCTTGGTGCACGTCATTTTGATGGAACAGACTCTAGACCAACTTCAGGAATAGACTCACGACCTGTCTCTGGAACCAGATTATTACCATTGAGCTATGAACCAAGGGTACGTCATTGCTTTATTTCTAAAAGCTAGTTTAGAGCTACCAAAGAAAACAGGTTATATTTTCTATCTACTGTATACCTTAAGATTTATTGACTGTGGTGTTGAGTGAATGAATGTCTTTCAGTATGTCTATTTGCCTAAATGCAAAATTGAATTCTTTGAAACCTTTCCTCGAATGTTTTTTTCATTTCATTTTGAAACATCTTGATGTGATCCTTCAGTTTTGTTTATTTCAAAGGTTCCCTCACCACCAAAAAGAACATCCAAGGTTCCCAGGCCACCAGCTGACCCAAACCGACCAATCACAAGGAAGGGTTCAAGGTCAAAGCAGATTGGCAGGTCAGACAGCATGGAAGAGTGCTCACAGTCCATTCCACCAGGACCTATATCCAGTGCAAGTAGAGCAGGATCTCTAACAGATGGTAGGACTTCAGATTCTTTAGCATGTACAATTTTGAATGCATTTTAATACATTGATCCAGTCCATCAAGTTCTACAGTCTCTAATTTATTTCTGAATAAAAATAAACACTACAGCACTTGGCAATGTTGCAAAAGTCTAAACGACTAAAGTTTACTGAACATTCCAAAGATGATTGTAATTGATTAATTGTTTTGCTTGTGATTCATTTATAGTCACTAGTCGAAGGTCATACCCTACCACCCCTGATGTGAATAGAAGAGTCCATAGTGGGCCAAAAGAAAGGACCACCCCATTAGAAGAAAGAGGGGTAGCAGATGGTGGGGAATGTGAGCCCAGAGTCATAAGCAGACAGAGGTAACTAAAATATAGAATGCAAGAAATATATTTTGTAATCATTTTCTCAAATCTTTTATGAAATGTTTTTTTCAGCTCATTTTTTCATCTTTTGTATTTATTTCTTGCTAACGTAACTCCTTTCCATATGTAGACTCAGAGGGATGAAGTTACTAGGATTTAACATTTAGCATGATTCCAATATCTTTGTCAATATTATTTCAAGAACTAAAAATGTAACATTAAAATGTAAATTCAGTAATCAGCTATTAAAACGTCTCATTAATGCTACTAGGCCATTTAGAATGAATCTTTTGTTTCAGTAATATTGTCCCAGATAACACTGGAACATCTAGTAGACAGTCAAGTGCTGAGAAAACAGGTAAGAATTTGATTGTTTTGAAGTAAGTTTTTTGTTTTTAAAATTTAGTAGTTTATATTCTGTTGCAAATATTTTAACAGGGATGATATTTGATGTAATCATAGGGATTTTAAACTAAAGCTGACAAATTACATCATTTTTTACCTAGTATATCATATGAAACAGGAAGAAAAGTATACATGTGAGTAAATGAATATACATGTAATTAAAATAATTGTGATCACCTATATGAAATTCAACCATCATTTACTTTTTTGTTAACAGGAAGTGCTGGAAGAAAGGAAGATGAAACCCCCGAAGAAGCTTTATACTTTAATACAAACATTCTACCCATATTGGATCATATAGCCACATTAGTAAAGGGTAATAAAATATACATGTACGAAAGTTCTATGCATACTTGATGAATTAATATTATTAATCATATTGTTAATGGCATTAAATGAGATGGTAGAATTCAAAATGTTCTGTTTATATCTACACTATATGGACCTCTACCCATCATTGGATAGTTATCAGACTTTGATTTAGCAGTTCTCTATATAATACAGCACTGGTAGTGTGGTCCAGAGACAGTTACTTTTGATCTGGACCAGCTCGTTTTTTCAGCTTGTTTATAGGATAATTGAAAATGTTACGTCAGTTAGTCTGTTCATACAAAATTACCAGGTATAAAATCTCCATCATGTGTCCTGTACAAATATACATGTACCCTTTTCCTTCCAGATAAAGACACAGATCTCTTACACAGTCTCACGTGCCAACTACATGAGAAACTTGAAGAGGGTAAAATGCTAGGGAGGAACTGTAAACGAAGGTCAGCAATCCTAAAAACAGTCTTCAAAATCTTAGACAGTGATGACCCTAAACTCTTAATCCGAGTAGCAAGGGTAGTTTTACAGGTAAATACAGAATCAGAGTACTTTAATGTTTTCTTTTCGTGCTTCTGATTTCGTTATTTGTGTCAAATTTGGAGATATTTTTATCAAAGTAATCACACTGATGAAACTCAATTGCTGGAATTTCAAAACATACTTGATTTTGTTAGGACTGTGTTGTGATCCATATGTGAAATTTCATCATAAATCATTGACTTTTCAGCTCAAAGTCACAGCAAATAATCTAACAAATGTATGCAAACTGATCTTCAAAGTGAGCAGGAATGAAAGAAATGATCAGCTTTTCCTTAAAGACACAATAATAGGTAAGATTTCAAGATATGGTTCTTTTGGAGATCATCTCAAATACGATACTGAGTATTTCATAATTGCTGGGAATGCATATGGTTTGATTGGATAATCCTTGGCAATGTTTAACTCTTTGAAAATTTTAACTACAGTTTAGTCACAACTAAAAAATGTCACGGTTACAGTTACAACAGATACTGAAATTGTAATTTGTATATTCAGTCCTATGCATGAGCATATAAAATGGATGACCCAACAGGAGTGTCGTTGCTTCGAAAGTGTTCAATTAAATTACAAAAATTGAAACATTTTGATTTTTCAGAGGATCTCTTGCCTGTAGTGACAATAGACCACAATGCACAACCAGAGGCCTTGGTGTACTGTATAGGTGCTCTGAAATTTCTATCTGGGAATTCAACCATTGTAAAACACATGTCAATGGCTGGATGTATATCAGCTTTGGGACAGCAATTAGCAGCTATTAACAAAGCGGTAAGCATTTAAGTTCTTTAAGTGCATCATTCTAGTTCAAATCAAAGACAAGTCTTTGAGTATATTGCAATATGGAATTGAGCACATCATATAAAATATTATATCTTGTAGTGTTGTATGTCTTTTTGATCATTAAAAATGTACTTTATTGTATCAAAATGTGCCCAAAATTTTTTAGTTGTATAGTTTTCTAGAATATATTTTTATGGTTTTCAGAATGCAGAATCCAGTAAACCAAGTGGAACAGGTGCTAATGTTTTGGTCCAGGTATGTCTACTATTTACAGGCTTGTGTTGCATAAAGGCTCATATTGCCCCTCCTCATTCTGAGTCAAAAAATAAATTGGGCGGGATGGAGGTGACAAGAGACTTCATTTTCTACAAGACCATTTTTTTTAGATGGGATAGAGTCTTAACATTTTTGAAAGTTCATTCACATTTAGAGAGATGTATCATCATAGCACTTTAACTGCTGTATATACAGGTACTCTCTTTTTGTTGCAGCTCACTGCTACTTTACGGAATCTCGCAAATGTCTCAAATAGTCGCCAGGAATTTCTGGACAGTAGTATTATGGAAAATTTATGTCCTCCTCTGATCTCCTACCCATCAGATGTTGATCTCGCCCTGAATGTGTCACGGATTTTAAGGTATGCGATTTTGAGTTTTTTTAGATTCATATTGCACTATTATAGATTATTGACCATTTAATCTAATACTATCAGATACTGAGTAGTTCGCTTTTGTTTACCCACTTTGTCAGTTTATGTGCATTGTACAACAGCCTTGTTAAATGTGCTCAAACTAATTTACCAACACTGATAACAACCCACTGAGTAATTTTAATTATTGCATCTTTGTGACATTTTTCAAATGAATATATAGCAAATGTATGGACTTTGAGAAGCATCCTTTAAGAAAAGATTTTTGATTGTATTTTCCAGTAAACTGACGACGCACACAGATTGTTGTGCGAAGGTGTGTAACACAGGCTCTTACTACAAAGCATTCCTCAACACACTTGCCACTCACAGGAAAAATGAGGTAGGCCTAATTATTGTTTTGATTGCATATCCCAAGGTATAAAAGATCAGGAATTATTAAAGATGCTCTTTCTGTTCGAAGAGGCAGTTTTGGTATCCATGCAGAATAAAAATAATTATTAAATTTAACTGATTGCTTCTCTTTATCATTGCTCATGTACATGTCAAAAGTTGATGCTTAATTTTACAGGACCTTGTAGTACGCGTTGGTTTCATCCTTGGCAACTTGACAGCTAAAAGTGAAAATGCACGTGAGCAGTTATTTGCAGCACCTAAAGCTTTAGAAACTTTACTAGCAGTATTCAAACACTACTTACTAGAGGATTTGCAGGTTAGGAATACTGAATGTTTTGGTCATATTTCAGCTGTAAATATTTTTGATAAAATTATCTGATGCTGTTTGTAAGTTAAAAAAATGTAATACATTTTGGAAAAAACGGGATAATCAAAGAACTATGTATTTTTTATTCTTCAATAAATTTGTGTCCATACCATTTACTACTACTCTCTTAATTGGTTTGAGTAATCAGAAATAGTTGTTTAGTTTAGTTGTACGTATTGTCTTGTCTTAAGTAGACAGTTCAAGTACAAAACTCACTACTCATATACCATTTATATACAGGGCGTCAAATAAGTCTGTTCTCCCCCCTTAACTTTTTTAATTCAGAGATAACATAGCGTTGGTATATATCATCTTAAAGGGAATTTAATTTGCTGATCACACACGAAATTTCAGAGTGATTGGTTTAATTCCAAATTTTTTAGAGTATTTTTTGTGATGTCCATATTTCACTTTTTTAATAGTCTGTATGTCTCCCCCAGCAGCCCGGATGGCCTCAATTCTACGAGGATATGATCCTGTACAAATCATTCAGAACGTTTAATTTTAGGTGTTATCAACTATTTTGTGATGAAAGATGCCCCTGCTTCAAAGGCTCCCCTGAATGTAACACATTTTATTCTGTAATGATATTGAGAAACATCGAAATCACCCAATGTTGGCATTGTCACTGCAGTATCAACTTTTCACTTTTCATTCACTATAACTGGTAATTTTACTTGTTTTGACGTAATCAAAGGTCAACTACAACCTTACAAGAAACACTGTAGGAATTTTATTAAGAATATTTCATCATTGATTTTTTGAGGGTGATCAGCATTTCCCATGAGCTTCAAAATGATATATGGGAAAGTATGATAAATTTAAAGATAAAAAAGTTAAGGGGGGAGAACAGACTTATTTGACACCCTGTACATGTACTCTATTTCTACGAACATTTCAGGAAAGCAATGCATCTAAAGATCAGAATCAGAATGGAGTAAAAACAGATAATCTTCCAAGTAGCAAAACAGAAGATGTTTTAACTAAACTTTTACGAGTCATAGCTAATTTATCCATCAATGAGATGATTGGGTCATCAATAGCAACGAATCGCACATGTATAAAGTACCTCATACAGATCTTAGGTAAGCAAGGTCCTCTTAGGAAGCTCTTTTTCGGATATATTTTAACAATTTTAAAAAGCACTGTTATGTTATTCTTATTTACTAGAGTCCCATTTTTTTTAACTCTTTGGAGAGCTGCTAATCAGAAATTCCTCAAAAGATAGAGGTTGTAGAACATAAAAACTGCAGTATAATTTTCCTTATGTATATTTATAAAGAAGAGTTTTGGAGGATTTCAAAAGTAATGAATCTTTTAATTTAACCCCACTATTGTAACCTCTGGTTATGGTGAAACAACAAATAAAAGTAATTGAATCAAACTAGAAGATACTGGAATACTAACATGGTTTAATTTCAAAATCCCTGTAGCCCTGTTGGAAAAATACAATGATAGGGGAAAAATAATGATCCATTACTTATCGAAAGGTTATGATTTAAATTCGACCAAACATATTATCATGTACAATGGTCTTGCACTTTCATTTGATTACAACATTTGTTTAAATCTTTCCAGAAAATAAAGATATCTCACAGAGCGAAGAGCTGATATTGAATACCATGGTAACTCTGAATAACTTGACGTATTATCCTGTGAAGAAAAGTGCCATTGTAGACCTAGATACTGAGCTGACTGAAGGTAATTATTAAACACTGAGATCTCAATAGAACTACTGAGTGCTACATCTCTTAGCAACTACAGTATTTTCCATCATGTTGAACAATTTTTTTAATAATTGCATCTTTTGATGAAAATAGGTAATACTAGAATTTTGAAGCCTGTTGACAGGTTGAGAAAATTTCTCAGGGATTTCTTGAATTTATGTCATATTGGAAATCTTGGGAAATGCAACACTTGTACAACTACGTACAATAAATATATTATGTAGACACAAGCAAAGCTCTATATTTTACTTGCTCTTTTTTAATCGAAAAATATAGTTGTGATTCAAAACCTGAATTGTAGTTTCAGTATTCATGTGAAAGATAAATGATTTCTTCCCCACCCCCTATTATACAAGCTTCAAGTATACGCCTCACTAAGAATCCCCCTTGCTTGTTTGTTTGATATATGCAAAAGTATTTACTAAGATCCCCTCACAATGGTACAATTATATTAATTAACATGTAGTAAAACCTGTCTTGTGAACATATCTAATTCTTGTTCTTGGAACATACTTCAATGCACAACACTCTTCATAATGAACACTTCAAATTCATTGGACACTTTTTCCATAGATGTTTACTTAACTCATGTTTTACTTTAATTTTGTAGCATGTATGAAGCTGATGCTAGCAGACCATATGGAGGGAATGGCAGAGGCAGGACGTGTCTTTGGCAATCTTACCAGGAGGAAAACTGTTAGAGACATCCTAGTGAATAACAAAGGTATGAAACTTCTGTATTAAAATGAATCCTTTAAACCCTCAACACCATCATAGAAAAGACGCAGATCACGCTTCTAAACTAAAGAAGTAGTGAAAAAGTTAAAACCACTGTTTTTGTGATCAGTGCTTGGCGTCAGTGTCAGCGGTGTAAGAAATAATCATGCAACGTTACAAGATGGTGACCTTTTCTTATATTTTATGTCGTATACTTCAGATTTCATAGAATGCAAATGTTAAGGTGTTCACTGTTCAATGTCTAACTGTGGTTTCATGTACTGTGGCAAGAAGCAATAAAATATATTCCCCTATCTGACCTCATTTTAGCAATTGTATCAAAACAGTGTCCATGCAACCTTTAAGCTGTAGTATGAGTAAGGTAGCATATTTTCTATTGTGTGTTTCAGTTGATGAAATGATGGTAGCTCTCCTAGACTCTGGCAGTAGGGAGGTTGTATTTACTGCATGTGGGGTGATGATTAATATAATGGTAGACGAAGAGAAGAGGGCTGTTCTGAAGCAAGAAGGGGGGATTAGGAAGTAAGTCAGTGATAATTATATGATCAGCGAAAATTGATCTGACCAAAGTAAAATGCAAGTTGTCGTACCTTCCAAACTACCTGTATATATAAGTTGTGCAATTGTGATTAGAAATTACTTTGAATTGATTATATTCTTGATTGGTCATTTCCTGAATGCATTCTGGGTCTTCGATGTCGCATTTTGAAGAATTAGATAAACAATGATTAGGCTATTTCACAAAACAGAATATGCTCGAGAAACCACAAAACACTCGAGAAACCATGATACTTTGCCAGCTTCTTAAAAATAGTCCGTCTTTTTTAGATTGGTAGATGTTCTCCGAGACTTTGGTCGCAATGACTGGCAGCTTGCTACCATGGTCTGCCAGATATTGTGGAACTACAGCAGTAAGATAACAAGTACAAACTCATGTTTTGGGGAGGAGGAAAGCTCAGATCTGAATGACTTGTTACTGGAATTTCTAGGTAGAGGTTTTGTTCCTAATTTTTTTGTACATGTACATGTACTTATTCATTTTTTCTAAAAAATGAAAATTATGCTGAATGAACAAATCCAAACATTGATCAACAAAATAAAATACATCTGTACTGAAAGTGCCAAAAGAAGCACCAACAAATAACCCAAATCTCATCCATCCATTCAGTCCAATCCACCATTCTTCAAAAAACAAACTGTAGAGAAAGAGAGCAGAAACCTAGATATTATTATGTAACAGTTAAGCATGTGACTGTATGGTGAAAACTGCATCATATGTTATGTTTTTTTAATCATTTTCAGATGAGGAGACTGCAATGGCTCCCTCTTTTACAGAAGAATTTGACGAAGAAATGAGGGAATTCTTCCATGAAAATTGGGAAACAGATTTTTGTCCAGTTGCATCACAATTGCTCAACAGAATCGAGGAGCATCAGTCAGACTTTGAACCCTTATGAAACCTTACAAAATGTTGAAAGTCAAGGTCATTCGGACATTCCAGCTGTATACATATAAGAATAGGCCTGATTAGATTCAATTCTTAAATATGTCAGAATAAATATTTATCTGTTAAATTTTAGTGAGGCCGTCTCAAGCTTGGGTCCACAACTGAATGCTTAACATACAATAGTGTGAAATGTGCATGTTAAGATGGCTTAAGGCAAACAAATATGCAAGCATTGTATACTGCATTAAGAAAACTTTTCAATTTTTACTATTGATAGCAGAACACATTACACAGGCATTCAACTTGATGAAAACGCACTGTTATCAGGTAATAGTGATAGCTTAGGAATGCCTCCATTTTCAGATTTCATTGTCATTGTAAATTACCACTCACAAATGGTATATTGTATATTTGTTGTTGAACATTTGGCTAGCTTTATTCTAGCAATTGTGAATGATGCATTTTATGTGATGAACTGCTATGAAATGAATATTTTACAAAATGATTATTATATACATGATTATTCCATCCATTTGGCTGTAAAATTCAATATGAATGAACATTTTAACCAAAGTTATATAAATGATGCATTAACATGTACAATTAATAAGAAGCTGGTAGGAGACAATAAGAAGGACAATTCAATGAATCTTTAACAGACTTTATTGTTTAGAGATACAATGTAATATATATAACATATTGATCAATCCTTACATGGACGAAAACATTCATTCAATACATGTTAAATTAAAGGTGCAGCAAAGATGAGTTGAGAGTGTCAGTGAACAGTAACTTTGTTCACATTCCAGTTCATGCCGGCTTTGAACACTTATTTTTGAACATTGCATTAATATAACATCATTTCTGAATAATCCTCCAATTTTTAGGGTTAATTTTGAAAAGGTTGATGCCCTCTTTTCGATTTTATCTAATGATACGGCTGAATTTGGACATTGTTGCATCTTATATTTAATAGCTTTCATATTTGATAAGGTTTATTTTATATATATCTGCTGTCTTCGGATGTAAGAGAAACAATGGCATGTTTTTTTTGAAAAAATGCTTCAAGCAGTTTATACATTTGATGGTCTTTGCTGCCACTTTAATATACTGTATTCCATTCCACACAAATATTTGTACTTACTACTTACCCTCTTTCTCCCCAAATAAAATCACATTTGTGTCTAAATTATGAATGTGACAGTTTGCTGATAAGATTATAAGTGTTACTTCCTGGTTATAAATAAGATTAAGTATTAATTAATAATAATACGTAAAAGTGCTTAATTAGTCAGAATTTAGCATTCCATTATCATTGTACACTTGGCTGGTACAATTCAGTGTATAAATATAATAAGTTCACATCTATTGGGAAACATAGATATACTCCCTCCCACACCCCCCCCCCATAAGTTTGGCAACATTTTTCATTTGATATTGTGTTAAGCCTGTTAATGCACTCATCTTTAATTTACTAGTTATAACAGTAATTTTGAAATTTCTGACAAAGCTGAGGTTGTTTAAACAGGCATTCACACATAGCTAGGCAAGGTGTGTCCAGTTCCAGTCAATCAGAACAGAGTATTCACATAATGAACAGTGTTCGAAATATCAATAACGCATTTGTTGTGTACAGATGCTAAGCGATTGAGATTGAAATTGAGCTTTCCAATACTTGACCCTTGCAAAAAGTTTCATTGAAAATATGTTCTTTTAGTGACTTTGTATCTTTTAGGTGACTCAATGAATTGTGGCTGCTTCATTTCACTCAGATGTTGTTTCCTAAACTTTGCATTTCCCCATGCAAAGATTTGGAAACAACATCTTCGTGGAATGGTTCAGCACACAATGCACTGAGTCCAAAGTCAACGCTTAAATCCTTAATTAATTCACAATCCAGAAGGGGACCTTCAAGTGCCAAACTTATGGTGGGGAGGGGGTGTAGATTCATTTCCTACATATTTCATTTTTGGCTTTGCATCAGTGAGTGTCATGTTTCTCCAAGTAACATACAAGTAGGCCTTCATTAGCTGTTTTATTTTGTACTCGTGTTTGTGTTTTTTTTCTGTCTTTGTGCCTATTATGACCACCACATGGAATTTCTTCAAGTCCGTGATCTGCACATCATTTCATACTTCAACTAAAGATTATTCAGTAAAAAGTCCTCAACAAATATTTTTAAAGGACATGGTATTTGTATTCCTCAAATTTTATTTAAGGGCACATATTGTTACAATTAGGATTGTAAATTGTATAGTTTATAACTTATTGATGAGAATGAATAAATTAAACATTGCATAATTATAGATTTTTATGTTGATAAATTGTACAAAATGGATGATATATATGTCTGTGTTGTAAATTGTTACAAGGCATTAACATGACAAAATGTCACCACCTAGTTGCTCACAATATTATGAGTTCAATCTTAGTCAGGTTTGAATTTCTGAGAATGTGTAGATGATTTTGAAAAAATAAATTATTCAATTTGAAGCAAGTTGAAAAAAGATCTTTTTTACTTCGAGAAGGTCATTGAAGGTGAAATCTCAAATCTGAAGTTAGATGTGAACTTCTGAGAACTTGCAGATGATTTTGAAATGAAAATTGGTCAATTTGAAGCAAGTTGAAAAAATACCTTTTGACCTTGAGAAGGTCATTGAAGGTCAAATCTTAAGTCAGATGTGAACTTCTGAGAACGTGTAGATAATTTTGAAAAAAAATTGGTCAATTTGAAGCAAGTTGAAAAAAGACCTTTTTTGACCTTGAAAAGGTCACTGAAGGTCAAATCTTAAATATGAAGTCAGATTTGAACTTCTGAAAACTTGTAGATGATTTTGAAAAAATTGAAGTCAGTCTAAACACAGTGATTTCCTAAGTGACATCTATATTATTGAGTAGAGTGAATGTTTATTCTAAATAGGGAATTCGAAGTGGCCAGACGTACATTCAGCAGTGGTAAGCATATTTTGATTTACATGCCCGAGCAAGGGGCGCCCGAGCAAGGGGCGCCCGAGCAAGGGGCTAAAATAAAAGGCTTTGAGGGCCTAGAGATATAATGCCCGAGCAAGGGGCTAAAATAAAAGGCTTTGAGGGCCTAGAGATTATATTTTTTTTTTATTTATTGATTTCTCAATTCACCCCTTATAGGGTATAAGAGTACAAAAGACAAACTTAACTAATACAGTAACAAACATTAAAATAACATTTATATACATGTAAGAACATTTTTTTGCCCAGCCTCGATTAAAAATTTACAAAGTTTTATGAGTATATTTTTGTTTGAATTCATTAATTTCTCAAACTTCTGTGTGTTTGGTCTTGTGGTATAACATTTAGGAAGGTATCTTTTTCTAATATAACTTAAAGCTTTGCATTCTAAAATGACATGAAATTCATCACCTATTCCTTTACCACATAAATCACAAAACCTATTTTCCCTAGGAATATTTTTATAACGTCCTCTTTCAACTGGAAGTTTATTATTACACAATCTGTACATAATTAGAACTTTTCTATATTTATCTGGCATACAGTCTAAATACTGTTCAAATGAAAATTCTGTTTTAAATATTTTATAGTTGTAACTTTTACTACTGACTTTCATGTCACTATTCCACTTTTGTAAAAACTGATCTTGCATCCTTACTTTTACTTTTTTGATAAACTCTGCATAACTAACTGACTTTGGATTTATCCAAACATCTGACATGCCAAGATTGTTTAATGTGTTTTTCACATAAGTAAACCAATTTGAGGAAAATACATTTCTGTCATACATATTTTTACACAATTTGTACATTTTTTCACTCATCTTTAAACTGTCAGAGCTACTTGTTGCTAATTTATACCAAAATTTCAAGATACATGTGTTAGACTTTATATATAGAGGGAATCTACCAAGTTCCCCATAAACCATATAGTTTGGAGTTGTTTTCTTGACCTTAAGAATATATTTTAGAAATTTAAGATGTAGTTTTTCGATCAGTTTGTTATTTGTCATTCCCCATATCTCGGCACCATACATTAATATTGGCAGAACTAGGGTATCAAATAAATGCAACTGTGTTTTAAGAGGTAATGCAAATTTGTTACATCTACTAAGAACTGAAAACATTGCCTTTTCTGCTTGACTATACAAATGTTTCATATTTAAATTCAAACTACCTTTGCAATCAAAAAATACTCCTAAATATTTAAAGCGAGGTACATTTTCAACTACACTGCCATTAAGGGTAATGTTATCAGTTCTTTTTAATTTTTTCCTACTGATGATCATATATTTTGTTTTGTCAGTATTAATTTTGATTTGCCATTCATCACAATACTTTTCTAGCGAAGAAAAGGCATCTTGTAGTTTATTTTTACTATTGGCAAAGATGACTGTGTCATCAGCATAGAGCAAGACAAATAATTTTAAATATCCATCTATTTCATTTCCAACATTAATCTGATTGCAATTATTTTTCAACAAATATTTCTCGACATCATTCAAATATAATGAATGCATCAGTGGAGAAATACTATCTCCCTGTCTCAATTCCACAGAGTATCTCGAAAAATTCAGACTGATTACGATGTTTGTCAATAATACAGCTTTTCATATTTTCATACATGTTTTGTACTAGTACTAAAAATTTCCCTTTTATCCCATACATTTTAATTAATTTTAGCCATAGTCATCATTAAAAGGCTTTGAGGGCCTAGAGATATAAATGCCCGAGCAAGGGGCTAAAAATAAAAGGCTTTGAGGGCCTAGATATAAATGCCCGAGCAAGGGGCTAAAATAAAAGGCTTGGAGGGCCTAGATATAAATGCCCGAGCAAGGGGCACCCGAGCAAGGGGCTAAAATAAAAGGCTCTAAGGGCCTGAAAATATATGCGCAAGCAGGGGGCAAAAAATATAAACCATGAGGGGTAATGAATAAAAGGCCTTGAGAGCCTAGAGATACAGAGATATATGCCAGAGCAAGGGGCTGTTAAATATAACTATGAGACAATATAAGAGAAGTTTTCTGAGAGGCAAATATTTGACAGAAACAAAGAAAAATAGAACATTGATGACATGAAAAATCTTGATAACATGGCCTTATAATGAACACTGGTAAAAGTAAAATTAGAGGTACGTTATAGTACAGTGTGACGAAAATAATGACACTCAGGTATAATCTGGTAATTGGCAATTGAATGAAACTGGGGTTTACTCAATAGAAAGTAGGTTGAATTGTTTTGACATGACTGGATAACCTATGCAAGTGATTGGTTATGTTATGGTTTAATTCCATGTACCCTCTTGTAAACTAATTTGAAAATGACTTGAGTTTGTAACATTTGAAACTAGTGAAGTCTGATAAACAATTGGCTTCTCTGTACATCTAAAGTCCGGGAGCACTGATCTCTTAGTGGTTTTAACCACGTGGACTTCGGATGTGAGAGTTGTCTCTCCACAGTAGGAGGTAATTGGCAATTGAGGTTAATTACTCATGTTAGGGGACTGATTTTTCCCCACCAGTAATTCATGAATGAAACATTGATATGAGGTCAATTTTAGGTTTTATTAGCTTCATAATTACATCATGGAAAACCATCTACTAGAACTAATGGGAGAGATTGCTCTCAAATCCGATGTCCACGTTATTTTTTTTGTTAATTTTTTATTAAAGATTTGAGGATTGGGAGTAGTAAAAATTAACAAATCACATTATTCAGGATGTAAATACACCGTAAAGGGTAAAATTAAATGTGTATTTCACCCTATCCTTTAACATGAAATCTACTTGAATGTATGGATGTCATTTAGGAAACATAGATTTCCTAAGTGACATCTATATTATTGAGTAGAGTGAATGTTTATTCTAAATAGGGAATTCGAGGGAGGTAGTCATTAGCGAATGGAATGGATAATAGTTTACATATCATGAAATTTGTATGAAATATCATGAAATTGGGAAATGATTGAAAAATAAGTTACCCTCCCACCCAACCCATTTTCTGAGGCTGTACATTCTGGTGGGTTTCACTTAAATATGTATTTCACCCTATCCTTTAACATGAAATCTACTTGAATGTATGGATGTCACTTAGGAAACATAGAAACCGTATTTGTTAAGTTATTGGAAGTTGTAAGAATTTGTTACGCCGACCGCAAACAGCCGTCGAAAAAAAAACTTTTTGGTGGTGACATAATAATTTACCATTTTGATCATTTAGGCCATGAATCTGAATTTTTATTCAGTTTTGAAAAGTGGAATTATAGAATAATTTGTTGCTCTTTGATAGACTTACAAGCGATGCCATTTAAAGTCTTAATTTTTTATGCCATGTATGGTTTCCTTTTGATTTTTTCTTCTATTTAATGAAGCCCTTATTCTTTCAAATGCTACAAAAATGGGGCTTTGATATCAAAGTTGCCAATTTCTTGAAAGCCAAGAGGACATGGAAGATGGTTAAAATTTTTGTTATGATTTATTATTAAACATGATTTCTTGAACTTTCAAATTATGAGAAGAATTAAGTCCTTATTTGAATACATTGCACCGGGCATAATGTCTGATATATTCACAAATTGCGACTTTTTACATAAAAATTTCTCGTAAACAGATTACTTGGGAAATGATGGCAAGTGAAACAGATACTATGAACAGTCATAAAATTATTGTAAATAAAACCTTAATTGTTTGAACAACCAATGTCGATGGACGCCTAGTTAAAGACTTACATTTTAGAAGTCATTTTAATAAAAAAATCCAGTTAAGAAATATCTGTACGGTGCTTTAATGTTTGTCATTTTTGTAATAATGATAAAATAACAAGGCATTTACATGCAAAATGTCACCACCTGCCATTAGTTATTGACCCCTAACACCAAAAACCATCCAGAAAAAAGTTGGAGACTATAACAATACATCACCACTTGCGATGATGACATTATAATTGTATAACCATTGTTATTTTACTCTGTAGAAAAGAAATACAAACATATAATAATTTTATTTCAACTGCAGAAGAAGCATTTATTTACAACATTTGGAACAAGCTTATCATTCATATACATTGCAATTATATTAATTTCATGATTGTTCGAACGTGCAAAGATATAATTAGTACATCAGTATTTGACTCATCTCAAACGCAGACACATTAGATGTAACTTATGTTACATTAACACATAATCTCTGTTACATCAATACATCACTAATGTATATGCACTAAACATCAGTACATTAACAACTGTTATCTGTAAATTAACTGCTCTTACATCAGTACACTAACTGCTGTTATATCAGTGCCTTAACTGCTATAAAATTAACTGAGGTTACAATGGTACATTAACTGCTGTTATAACAGTACATTAACTTCTGTTAACAATGTTGTTAAATCAGTATATCAAGCTTCACATTTATCATTCAGAAGAAATCATTTTTGTAAGAGATGCTATCATTGACCTTTAGCGTGATTGGCTCCCATGATTATTCACAATAGTGTCAAAGGAGGTTTGCCCTTCCCAAAAAGATGATTTGCGTAACTAGTAGTAGTTATTTGTAGGAACCATCATTCCCACTTTTCGATGTTAGTAGAACTTGAACAAGTTGAACTAAGGTAGCATTCCTGAATTCAAGTGGCAGCTTTCGGATTGACCTACTACTTTATAGCCAACTCATTTAAATGTACTAGTATCTGCCACTATTCCATTCATATTTAAATTAGATAGCCATAAAAAGGAGGTTGAACCGTCAGCAATAAGTTGAATTCAAGAATGCAATCTAAGAAAACATGAAAGTTCAGGAGTTTAGGGAAATGCTTTTGGAGATAAAAAACAATAAAACTGGGTATTTCCCAGTCTTCTATGAAATCACCCAGTATCATGTCTAATGAAGTTCAACGGTATGATATGATATCAAAATTACACATAAAATAGTTTTCTACTGATGGTAAAATATTAAACATTTCATGTCAGGCAATACATAAATGTACATAAGTACACAAGTGATGTTACAAGGATAAAAATCTAATTAAATTTCTGACAAATCACATTGAAAAAGTACAAACATTTCACAGAACAATCTCAATTAGTCATAGAATTATAAATATAACAAATTTCTTACAATTTTTCAAACAAATTTCCTTATATTCTACATCATTTGAAAGAACATGAAACACTGCATCACACCGTCGAGAGAAATATAAAATATTATGCTTTCTTACAGAAAATAAATAATTTAATTTCTTTGAATTCAATGCTGAAGTATCAAATAATGGTCAACTTGATTTATATCATTTGTATATAAATGATTCACATGTACTTTCTAAATAGACACTCAATCCGACCAGAGTAAAATTTGTTCATTTTGATTACACTTTGCAATTCATCCATGAATTTCTTTGTATCAATCACCTACACAAGAAGTGGTAATGTCACATAGAATAACATATTTTGTGATTTATTAATTTTTTGGTTTTGCAAATTGTGAATCACCCAACCTGAATTCACGATTATACATTTCAGAATGACTCAACGGCTGACATGCTAATTCCATTATTTATCTCATAAATCTGAACGAAGAACTAAATATTTAGACATTTCTATACAAAAATGTGTTTACCACATTGCTGTTGTATTTTAACTCTTCCAGTTCTTCCCCTGTGTACCAATGAATTGCTGTTTCCAAGTAAATCCTCAAAATTTTGGTTAATTTGAATTTTGTATAGTAGAGTACTAGGTTCAAGCTAGTTAATACTTCTCATTATGATGAATCCGATTAGCCTGACATTTCAGTATATCAATCAATGCTTCTCTATGCATCAAAAGATCTGCAATCTGATCAATTTGCATGCAAATAGCATGTAGAAATTCACACATACTCCACATCTTCATTCTATATTATAGTGATTTCTAAACCTTAATGGTTTAACATTGATTTCCCAGTGCACTGTTAGGTAAATATATTTGCTGATGATCTCTGGCTTCTTACCTGACAAAGTGTGGAAGTTGGAGAATAATGGTTATTGTGTGGCGGTGAGAACGTAAATTTTATTCACGTTATAAGGGTTCCACCGCGCAATATCAAGTGGAATCACCACATATCAAGTCAACTGGCTTGGTGGGAACTAAGTCTCAACATGTTATCAAGCGGGAACCAGCATATAACAAGTCAGTTGGTTTTGCCTCATGTCATCACAGAATTCAAATAAGCCTGGAAATTAGCCTGGAATAGATGTGAAAACAATCTCCACTTTGTGTTCTAATAACCAGCAAAACATTCATTTCAATTTATGGAAGTGATTCCATACTGACTAGTCAAAGTCACATAAATAACATGAATAACACATAGTAAAACAACAATGATAGAAAAATAAAAGCAATTGCGATCTGATTACATATTTTTAAATAAATAAATAAACAGATTCATATAGAATCTATTCCTATTCCCTACCTACCTAAATGCTTTGATCTCATTTCAGTATCACATCCATCTCACCTTGACCTTGACCTCCGTGACCTTGACCTATGGCTCGATTTCTTACCCGACCTTGACCTATCATCATCAGAATCATCATAGTCATACCTAGATGATTTTCTCTTTGATTTACTAGAACTTGATTTTCTCCGTTCTTCTCTTGGACTTCTTGACCTGGTTCTGTGGCGTTCTTTGTGTTTATGACGTCGTGAACTGCGACTTTCACTATCAGAATCACTCCTATGGTATTTCTTAGATTTAGATTTTTCGTATCGGTCATCGTCAGTTGAATCGTCACGTCTATGTCTAGATTTTGTCGTTTGTTCACTGTCTGATGTATCATGGTCATTTCGTCGGCTTACATACCTTCCACTTGAAGTCAATTCTGATTGCGTATCTGAATTTTCAGAGTCTGAGTGATGTCTTTTTCTTGATTTCTTAGTTGAGCTATTTTCCCTACTGTCATATTTGCTTGACCTTGAGTCTTGTCTGTCTGCGTCTTTATGGCTAGATTTCCGTCTAGGTGTCTCATATTTTGTACTACTCCGCCTTCTGTCTTTTTCTCGATCACGGTCATCATGTTCTTTGACTTTATCATAGCTATTACTTCGGTCTCGTTTCCTCTTTGAGCTAGATTCACTGTGTCGAGATTTGTGTCTTTCTACTGACCGAGATCTGTCTTTATATCTAGATTTGTCATCTCTGTCTTTTGAACGTGATCTTTGTTTGTCTCTATGTCTGTCTCTTTCTGGGCTCGTAGAGTCACGGCGTCGGTGTCTGTGTCTGTCTTTCTCAGAACTGGTAGACCTGTCATGTCGGTCCGTTCGATGGTCACGATCATGTGAGGAAAGTTCAACACGTCTCTCTGTGTGTCTACTACTGTCTCTACGTACTTCACGATCTCTTGTGGATCGTTCTTTCGTTGGTTTAGGTTTATTGTGATCTTTATCAGAAGTGGACTCTGATGAGCTATCAGAATCACTAGTTGACGTAGAAGAGGTATCACTTTCACTACTTTCCCCAGAGTTACTTTCCTTTTTAGAATCAGTTTCAACATCTAAACCAGGGATCACATCAGACTTCTTCTTTGGGAAATATTCTGATTTGGCTTGTAGTTTGTCTATAACAAAAACAACAGGATTTTGGACAAAAACTAATCTCATAACAGTCGAAACAGACTAACTTCTTTATCAAATGATTATTTCTATTTAGAAATAACAGAATGTCAAATATGACCCTAAAACCAAGAGGCTAGTAATTACTCTCTGGCTTGGGATAGAGAATTTTAGTTTTTAAACTGCTGATAAGATTTTAATGAGCCCATAAGTAACTAATATGGCCTCTTTAATGAGAGTTTGACTGCGGAATGAATGTCAGCTCCTTATGAAAGCATAAATTCTGTGACTGCAATTCTGAATAGGTAGCTAAATAAAGCACATTTTATCAAATGTGCACTGCTAAAATGAAAAGGCACCAAACATTTGTAAGTCATAGAATAATTAAAACAATTCGGTTTTCAAAATTCCATCAATAGGATGTGGCAAGTTTTTTTTAATACATAGACAATTTAGTTCATCATACAAATTGTTCATACATAATGGCTTGCCAATCGCCTTTATAGCATTATAGGCTAAGCTGAACTAAATAAAGTTAAAATATAGCAAGTCACAAGATTTCCATTACCCAAGACAACTATTATATGCAATACTTCATATAATAATTAATATATCAATAATTCAATACAAAAAAACATATTGTCTCCACTTTTCAATCATATTAAAGGTCAAGAAAAATAAGACTCGAAAAATATGATTTCTACCTTGTTCAAACTTTAACAATCGTTCCTGTTCTTCACGTTCAAGCTCTCTTTCTCGCTTAACAGCATCTCTTTCAAATCTTCGTTGTTTGTCTTTAATACTTCGCTGCAACTCTTCTTCATCTGTCATAGGCTCATCTTCTGATTCGTTGGCTGAGGACACACCATCAGACTCACTTTCAGATCCGTAGTCCAATCCAAGCCCTGCAAGAGTACACCAAGAAGGTTTATATGTGTCAGTTAAGGATAAAATGTCTGCCATGCTGACTTGTTCACATTGATTGGTAAGAATGGGTATTTCTAACATGTGGGTTATTTTGGTAGTTCTGGTAAGTGGATTTTGATGATAGGAACAAAACTGAATTTTGAATGTCATCCTGAATGACTGCATGACTTCCGAGACATTTTATTTGTTCTTTTTCAAGATGGAAAGTGCAAATTTGCAAGAAATCAACAAAATGGAGTACAGTTCATAAATTTCAGATTATCACACCCCACTATCAAAGCTTATTCTACACATATTTATCCCACGGGCTGTTAAAAAGCCCAAATGTTTTAAGATTTTTCTCAGCTCAATTTTTTGCATACACATAGCATACTTTAAAGTAGGCCTCATGGCGAACCAAATATAGCATGAGCCCAAATGTAGCCATGAAGATTGTTTAATATCCCGACTAGACATGTAAGAGTTAACAAATCATCACTCCCTAAATACGAAAGCTTAACTTACCGAATCCGGAGATAGAAGCCAAAGCTTTGGACTTGGAAAGTTGTTTGGCTGGAGCTTTACATATACATACACAAACATTAGTTATCATACAATAAATCTTCGCCACCTAGATGTGATGTTGCAGCGTGTGACACGCCACATCTCAGATTGTAGTAAGAAATAAAGTCCATTCTGTCTCCTGTCTATGGAAAAAATGTTTATGCAAGGATTAATTTTCAAACTCACAAGTCGATGATTTTCAAGTCAAGTTTATGTCACATGATTTCTCTGTCATCTAAACAGCGTTTTATATGATATTTCCCCATATAATTTAGAATACCTAAATTATGCCAAAATTCAGAGAAACTATCCCAATCTCTCAGCTTATTTTTGACTCCATCATTTTTGCTACTGACAAAGAATTACATGTTTATAAACATGACAGTTATCACACTGGTTTTAACAATATCCTTCTTCAAGCATCTTAGACTTTATGAATTATCTTGTGCCTCTACAGTCAACAGGCAGCTACTTCTTTCTACAATATTCAAATACAGTTAAACCTGTGTGTGTATAACATCAAGGGCATAGCTAGCAATGAGGCTAGCAAAGTATTGGCTCACTGATTTTTGGATCTTGACTACAGCCCTTAACACCTTAAGAAGAATGCAATGTTAAATGGAGAAATGAAAAACGTGTTCACAAACAGGTTTTACCGTTCACATAAGTTCTGTATATGGAACAATATTTAATCAGGAATTAATCTTTCAAATATTTTTAACGAAGTTCTTTGACTAAAATTAATAACTTTATGGAAAGTAAACGACAAACTTTAATTCCTGACAAAATAATTGCAGTATATTAGTAAGTTGGCAGAGACATTGCACCAAAATGTGGTTCATGAAATAATCCAGAAGTCCTGTTCCGTTCACTGCTAGTGTATATAGTAACTGATCTGGTATCTGGCTTAGAATTGATACACTGAATATGGGGTATTTAAAAAGGGCAATGTCCATAATTTTGATCCTTAATAAGACTAAAATGTTTTTAATTCATAATAATTCACATATCATTATGAATAAAAATATTTTGGGGTTATCAAGGATGAGAATTACAGCAATTAGCACTTAAAATATGAAAGATTTAAGAATCATATTCATTTATTTTTTATAACACAAAACAAACCTGAGTTTTTAAAAAGTGTCACAATGTCCCTCAAAAACAAATGTGATCATTTCAATATAAAAGTACAAAAATATTTTCATGAAATAAAAGTTCATGCTTTTTACAAAATATGTTTAAATGCATAACAATGATTAATCATCATGTATATAATCTTTAGATAAAAATAAATATATTTTTTATAAAAGTATTGCATGGTTTGTAAAAAACCATTATCACAGTCTGGTAAAAACAGCAGCCATTAGCAGTGATAAAGTCCATTCTTTGAGAAGTAATGTGTTTTTCGTTTACAAATGAAAATAACACCACAATAGTTTTCTTGTAATAGCATCTCTTGAGTAAAGACCAGAAAGTCTTTGAAAAATGGCCCATGGTCAGGGTGCTACATAAGTTTGTGTCCATCCAGGCCAACTAGTTTTTAAGCATTTATAGAAGGCATTAACATGCAAAATGTCATCACCTACCATTTGTTACAGAACCCAACCACCAAACGCCGAACACAATTTACAAAAGTTGGACACCATTTCAATATGTTATCATTTGTAGTGATGACATAAAACATTCAACAACTGGTTTGTAACTCAATTTTGACTAGTTAACCCAAAATTCTTATGTTGCACCCTTTCCATTAAACAGATGATTTTTATAACTAGAAAACTCATATAAGAGCTTCAAAAAGATGGCCATGTTTGAGAGCAAATGACATGTACCTTTAGCAGCGACACGTTTGGCCTTTGCATACACTTCTTCAACAATATCTTCTACTTCATTGTCAGTTACCTCCAGGAGAATCTCAGTCAACCATTTCCTTGTCTTGATCATCTAAATATACAAACAGAAGATCAGTTTACTTCAAAATCAGTTAACCATACAATTTAAATCATATTATGAGACAGCGAGAATCAATATGAACTGCTGTTATGAAATATAGAAATCAGGAAAACTATAGAGAAAAATGAAAAGAAAATGGATAAGTACATGTAATCCCGAATGCTGAAAAATATACCAATACAATGACTCAGCAGGAAGTTAGAATGATCACAGATGGACAAATCCTTTATATGATCGCACATATGTGACATTGCATACGCGAAAAAAAACACCAAAAATATACCAATTCCATTTGTTTTTCTTCCTCAGTTTTCTCTTCCTCAGACTCAGGGGTAGCTGAACGTTCTCGTTTCTGCAAAGATTTTTTGTCTCCCTCTTCAATGTCCCCATCAGCCTCTTTGTCACTACTCTCACCATCAGAGTCCTTGAAAAGAAAGTCTAGCTTTAGACAGTCAACATCTCATTTCATTATTCATCCTCATGATATTCAATATTTATTTGAAATTGCACTGTATTCTTTCTATAGAGATGTAACAAAGAGGTTTAAAAATATTGTGAATTTTTGATTTGTGAAATTCAAGTAGCAATCATGATTTTGTTCTTATAGCAATACCAAGGCAATTGAATTTCATAAATCATAATTCTTATGTTAAAAATGGTCTTATTTGTATTTGAGGACTAAAAACATGTGTATCTATATGTTTTATTTGATGTTTCAGTTATTATCCCAGCAGTGAAGTGAGCAGACACTGCCTGGCATGAAATTTTCAAGACCCAGTCCCACCTGAACACATATTAGAACAAACTTAAAGATTGCATCCATAGCCAAATTCTCTATTTCGTATTAAACCAAACTTACAAATCTGCTCTTTCTTGGGACCCTAGCCTCCCCACTGTTCTTCTCATCTTCTAACTTCTGTTGTTCAGCCTCTTCCTGTTCACGTTTAAGTTTCTCCGCCTCTTGCTCTTTCCTTAATTTTTCTTTCTCCGCTTTTTTCTCCTTTTCCTGCTCCATTTTTTCTAAACCCTGTCTGATCCAAAGTGGCAAAGATTTACGCTTAGCTGCATCTAGAAAAGAACATGATATATTGAATCAACTACCACAAGAACATTCACTTTTAGAATTGGTATGACCATCATACAGGGTGTCACTAAAGTGCAGGTACAGAGTCGCTTAGATTTGATCTGGGCCAGATGATTTAATGTTTCAACATATAGAGGGAAAAAAACATAACAATTGGTCTGTGATCAATTTCAACAAGTAGGTCAGAAATTCTTTTGAGAAAAGGGCGAGTCAAAAGGATTTCTGACCCACTTGTCAAAATTGTACAAATGAATAAATAAAAGCACTCGAAATGCATGAGGGCACCTATAATAAATAAATGCATGGGTGCACTAACCCATTATTGGAGGCACTGGACCATCATCTTCTCCAGCTGCCATTCCATGATGCATGACTGCATGATGGACTGGGGGCCCAGGGCGGTGGAAGTCAGAATTATCAGCAATTGGTTCGGAATCCCAGAGATCTGGAGCAGTCTGGTGGTTGTAATCTGCATGTATTCCCTAAAAGTTGAGATCAGGTTATAAAGAATCTATTTCATGGAATCATGGGCATGTACTTTATGTAGCTCCTTGAAGAATGTAGAGCATTTTGATGAATTTATTGGAGCCATGTTTCTGTTTCCTTATACACCAATTTTTCATAGTAGAAACTAAAATAAATTATTTTAATTTTGCTGTACCATTCTGTCATTTGTCAGGTACTTACAGGTTTATCAACACCATCAGACTTTCCCTCACCACCGCCATGGTTGTAATCAAAGGCCTGGTACCCATGGCCATAATCAAAGCTCTCAGCGGATGGGGGTTGCTGTGGTGGCTGTTGAGGAGGAGGCCAGCCCCATCCCCCTTGCTGCGCCCCCCATTGCTGCTGACCCCAGTTGCCTGTTGCCATGGCACGTATATGATCCTCTGGATTCACCGCTACAATATTATAGAAGATGGTCCTAGTAAAATGATAGATCTCCACAGGATTTTTTCTCAAGTGGGTGCAAAATTCTCATTTTCACAATTCAAACCAAAATTGCCAATTTTTCATGATTTTTGTCATTTTCAAGTGGGTGCAAATGGATTTTCAGGTGGGTGCAAGCCTATCTCAAAATCTCAGGTGGGTGCTGCGCCTACTTGCTTTAATGCTGAGGAGATCACTGCATTACAATCAGGGAATGACATAAAAGCATAAGAGTTGAACCACATTGCCAATCAATATCAGACTAGATCAGCTGGCTTTTTCAGTGCATATATTTATCAGAAATCATTTCTATGCACTTAAATAACTGACACCAGAGAAAGTGGGGGACAACTTCCTGCAACTTTCAGTACAGAGCACAACTTTTACACTAATTTTCTAGCCAATATCTATCATAAGTTCCTTGATAAGACCACTCAAAATCGAATCAAGCAATTTTTTTCAAAATATCTTTTTTCTTGCCGAGAATTGGTTTTTAGAATTTACATCATCCAGTAAATTGAAAATAAAAAATGTTTAGAATTCAACTTAACTGCCTACACTTTACAATATTCTAGTTTAATGGACATAATATGAAGCAATTTTTTGGTGCATCTTTTTACAATGGGAAAAATGCAATCTTCTCTGGTGTCAGTAATAATTACAATGGAAAAGAAATTCTTATGAAGCCAAAGCTTATTGATAAATGCTTTATTTAGAATACTTTTATGACTTTCAAACCAAAAATTTATATCAGTTACTCACTTTCATTTAATTTTCCGAATATGATTACTTACCTGGGGGAGCTGGGGCACCATTGACATCCCCATCCTTAGGGGGTGGGGGAGGAGGGGGACCCTGGCCTATGGGAGGACCATGTCCCGTAGGGTGAGGTGCTTGTTCAGGGACATCACGATGCTGTATCCATTGCTTTGCAAGACTAGCCCAATCAACTAGGAAAATAATGTTCAAAGTGAGATTTTCAACAAGAAGATTTGCATTAAAACTTTTTAATATTAATATTATAAACTGCAGTATATTTTCTTTCAAGTGATTATGGGCTATGGATTATAGCCACAACTGTTTAACTTGGGAATTGGTCAAAATATTTTTCCTGAGAGTAATTTTCATTCAGATGGGGCCCTATTCATTAAAAAGTTGCTTTTGCTGAAGAAAAACAAGATTTTTTTATCATAGGTAAATCTGAGTCCCAATAAAATAAAATAAAAAAAGATGCCCGGTTGAAGTTCTCACCTTGGTCATGTGGAGTATTTGCGAAGTGTTGTTGCTGTAATGGCCATTGTGCCCAGGGCTGTTGCTGTCCTCCACCCCACATTGTAAAGTTTTAATCAATCACTGGACCTAGAACAGACAAAGCCCTACATTATATATAGTTACCTTCAATAATCGCATCAGTAATAGACGAAGCCCCAAATTGTATTGGTCAGCTTCAAACAATAAATTGCAACTGGAATAGGCAAAGCCCTGCATTGTAGTCAGCTTCAATCAATCACTGCACCTATCAGAGTCTTCCTGTTGCAAAAAAAATATCCAAATTATCAAAAAGAAACATGAAACAAAACATTGGGGCGAATTTATTTGTTAACTATATGTGGACATATACATTTTGATATTTAAGAAACAAACAAGATGTTGGGGTAAGCCTTTCATGAATAGTCACAAGTGCCACATATACCAAGTATTGTGCCATTTCATGCTAAGCACCTAGCTTGGTCCCCATACAGGGTTCATACATCTTTTTCAAAATGAAATTCCCTGACATTTCCAGGCAAAAAAGGAAATTTCCAGGTCTAGTTTTGCTTGCATGGCCTCCAAAAATGGCTCTGTATTATTAAATAAAAGACAAGACTTATTATGAAACATTTTAGGTTTCTCCCTTAGTACCATTTCTCATGACTGACTTTACTTTTACAGCTGGCCATCTTATTCACCAATTTATTCCTGATACAAAGGCAAGCATACATGTACATCAAGGGGTGCATTTTTTGGGGTTTGCATCACTGCGAGCGAAGAAAACCCAAAAAGGGGAGGGGGTGGTGTGGCGAATGTAATTTTTCACAGGCGAGTGTAAAAACACAAGTTACTTGGCAATTGATGATTTGCGATCACAGAATAGTTTCTATCTTGTAGTGACGTCACAATTAGGCCACCCAGCTTTAGATGTTTGATTTTGAGAGATTATCTTCTATATTTCGTGCTTTATTGATTTATTTTTCACGAAAGCGTTCGATTTGACTAGATCAACATTCATGCTAAGCACATACCAAGTCTAAGATGTTACTGACATGATTTAGATAGCGGTTAAGGCGCCCCCCGATTTTGACAAAAACGGGGGGCGCTTATAGGCATCAATGTTTAGTATGAATATCACCCAAACATTGCACATATATAGATATACTCATGATCTAGTCAAATCGGCATACCTGGTAAATATCCGACCCATGGTTTTCATAAAAGAAACGACAATATGTTTTGCTCAAAACTGCCACGTGTTCGCCATTTCGTGATTCCATCATTTCTAATATTATTTCTAGAGTCCATTTCACTGCTTCATTTCGTCAGTAGAACGGCAAATATAAGAAATTGGGAGACCATTGTGCAATAATATATGGAAAAGTATATTCATAATGTACATGAATGACATTTGTATATCTTGGATTGCTTCTAGTAGGGATATTACATTATTTTTCAAAGCTGTTATTTGATTTTTAAAAATAAACTGAGAGGGTAGGGCTTGGTGAAAGAAGCTCAAAACTGCAAACGGAATGAAAATCGGTTCACGGGCAGCAAAGTTACGGCATTTTTAGTCCCGAAAACATGACATCAATTTGAGATCATAGCAAATTGATCTCCATGTTAAATAAGTGGCACCGATTGGCAAAAATCAACATTTTCCATGAAATCTATCATTTTATCATAGTTTTTAACGACAAGTGAGCCAATAACGAACAGGTTAACTCCAGGAAATGTCTGATTTTTCTTATTCTTCAAAAAACCAGAATGCCTGCCAAAAACCGATTTGGCCTCCAAATCCAAGATGGCCGCCTAAATCCAAGATGGCGGACAGTAGAAAAATTGCTTTTTAACCTTTAGCGTGCTGCCGGCGGACGAGTCCGCCGAGACTAAAATGTCTCTCACAACTGCCGGCGGACCCGTACGCCCGATTTCAAACTTTTAAAAACTTTACTTTTTCGCGCCATTCGTATTGTCCAATTAGATTGCCCGATTTATTCAGTGCCTAACATGACTTCCTGTTGACCTAGAAATGGCGATATTTCGAAAAATAATTCTCAATTCAACAATTTAAACAGTGTTTTAGTCGTTTTTAGTGAACGAATCGTACAAAATGGTGGACAAATACGATCACAACGAAAATGTGGAGGAAATAGATTACGATTTCGAGCTCTTTAGGCTCTTGGAAGCCGATAACGGTCATCGAAAATAGAAAGTAGAATATTTTCTGAATTGAAAAATTGAACATTCGATCGCTGCAAATTCAGATTTGGATTCTGACCAGACGAAGAGGCGGAGCGGCGGATTCCGGAGGAGTATTCATGGTATATTTATGCCCAGTCGTGTTAATGTACGAAAAAATTCATGAGAACATTTTTTTCATGAGCCAGGCCACTGTATCTTCCCTTTGTGAAAATTTTATCCAGATTCATTCAGTAGTTATTGAGATATTAATTATTTAGTCCAGGTATATCATTTTTTGCACTCTTTGAAAAATAAGCCAGATGCGTGGGATATATTTGCTGAAATAAGGCAGCATGGTAAAGGTTAAACGCAGATTTTACAATGAATCCATGCAGTTACCTTATTTGTCTAGTCCAAATATGTCACACTTGACATAAAATATCCAATATTGTGGGAAAATCCAACAAGACGTCTCAAATCCAAGATGGCGAATACATTCAAGATGGCAGCAAACGCCCAAGATGGCGTCAAAATAGACAAAATCCAATATGGCGGACAGCAAAATCAGTATGTTTTGACGCAGGTTTTAAGATAAATCGATGAAGTTTATCTGACTAGTTTATTTGACTCGGTCAAGAATGTCACTTATAACTACAAATATCCAATATGGTGGAAAATCCAATACAGCGTCCAAAATCAAAGATGGCGCAGGAAAAAGATGGCGGCCAAAATTCAAGATGGCGGCCAAAATTCAAAATGGCGGCCAAAAATTCAAGATGGCGTCAAAATCTACCATAATGGCCAAAATCCTAAATGGCGGACTTTAAATACTACCATATTTTGTCACAGATTTTAGGATAAATCCATGAAATATTATCTTGTCGAATATGTAATCTATAGTCTGAGAAATCCAATATGGTGGAATAATCCAAGATGGTGTTCAACTATAAGATTCCGCCAAAGTCCAAAATAACATCCTACATTCTCAGCTGATTGTGCGTAAGTATTACTTCCAACTTTCATCTGGTTGTTTAGAGATCTCTTAATCTGTTAATATAACGTTGGCTGTCAAACGTCAAATGTGAGAACTGGGAAAATTGTTGTCATCTGGAATTCGAAATATGAAATATTTAGCTCTGAGTGACAATGCATACCACAGTATTAAACTTTTAAATCAAACCATATGTATTCTTGCCGAAAAGTAATGAATATGTTCTATGAATGTAATTAATTGAGAAAACAATAGGATAAACGCAACATTTATCTGGACTGATCAATTTCAATGATTAATAAACTACTAATTTGATCCGTGATTGATTATTGTCATTTTTTAAAATTAATCACCTTACCTTAACATATCTACATTATGTACAATGGGGAGAGGTTGCAAGAGGCTAGGCTTGGAGATCATCCCTGAAAAGTGTAGAAAACAAATATTATTGTATGTTCATATCAGTTGTAATCTTGGGAACTGCTCAATAATATATAAAACATATTTGTGTGTAATTTAGATTTTAAACCAAAAACTATATCTTTCATGCTAAGGTTATAAACCTATGAAAACATGTAATATTAATCATAAATATTGAAAAATCCATATTGAAGTTATAAACTGTTCATAACTAATATTTAAATGCAAACATTACACAATGAAGTTAAAAGTAAATACAAAGAAGTAAGACACACAATGTAAAGTAACTCTTTAAATCAACAGTAACAGAACACTGATCACCTCAGGATTAAATCTCCCTTCTTCAAATCTCGCAAGAGGTCAAATTCCCACACTTGCTTAGCCCCTTCATACTTTACACTAAACAGTGATTTTTCCCCATCTCCTTTAATCAATTTCACCACCTTTCCTTTGTACCACTGAACTTCTTTCTTATCTGAATTGCCATCAGAATTTACACATTTATGTTCAATGTTCACACCCACTAATCTCTCAGGATTTTTCAATAGTGTTTCATGATAATTTTTATTTTGGCAGAGGGCTAGCCTTGTTTGCCTGGCCTTATAGATTTCTTCAGCCAAGTTCATCTTTTTCTCTTCACATTGTTGCTTTATATCATGAGTATTACACTCTATTGCATTGTCAATTTGTAATTCAGGTTCTGGGGACTCATTGTCACTTATGTCGTTGAGATCTAAAATAGTTTTTAAATTGGATGTAAGGTCTTTAACTGAGTAGGGAACACCTTTTGACGATTGCGCAAAAATTGGCTTTTCTCCTTTTGATTGGAGTAGGTCATGATGAAATTTGATTTGTGTAACAAGTGCTTGTTTCTTTGCATTTTGGGAACTGTGTTCCTTAAGTTTCATGTCAATCACTTTGGCAGATGTCCAAAGACCTCCTAACTTGACTATGTCATTTGTCAATTTTACCTTAGCTTGACTTTGTTTTTCTTCCTTGTCTCGTTTCTCATTTTGTCTCGTTTTTAATTTTTCCAATTTTTGTCTTTTGATTTCTTCCTTTCTCTCGGCTATAAAAGCTCTCTGTTCAGTGTAGCTAGTTCTTGCTTTCTTTAAGGCATCACGTTTTTCTTCTTCACTCAGGGCATTCAGCCATTTTGTTGTCTTGTTATTTCTCCACATAATGATTGCATCAATAGAAGGGTATGCAATCATTGGTTTGTTTCTTATAAGATTGTCCAGTATGGCGAAGTCCCTCTCATTTGCCTTGTTTGTAGCAGGGGTGGACTGAAGTTTTTGACTGATATAATCTGGCGGATCATACAATAATCCCCCGGGCAGGTGATCTTTGCACTGCCTTTCAAAAACAAGAAGGATACCTGCTGCTAGGATCTCAAGAGCCATCTGTGTCAGTGCCTCGATATCCTCATTTCCATTTTTCTTGAGAAGACTTTCATAGATATCATAGTGCAGTCAGAATGAGGGTTTAGGCGTGCGTTCAGAGGGATTTTATG